TACGATACGATGTCAAAATCGAAAAAAAAAAGATATATTTTCGATGACGATTTCCCAATCGCTGATGTCTACTAACCCAATGAATGTGGTCATCCCTCATTCCACCATCCAGTCCGTGTCGGTGCCGTACACCTCCCTGCTGGTGTGATCTTGTGGTTGCGCGGGCAGGTGGCGCAAGATGTCTTGGTGGCACTCATCGCAAGTGTTAAAGCCGCCAATTCAGCACATGGGATAGGTGCTACCAAGACGTCTTGCGCCACCGCGTTGCCCCACCAGAGCCGCCACGGCATTGCGACCCAACCGAGCGCACAACATAATGTTAGCGGTAAGGCGAGAACCACATTGGATGTAGTCCGAGTGAACTCATCAGTACACAATTCTCCGGAGCAGCATCACACAAAGCTCTACAAAATGAAAGCGTCCAAACAGTTCAAAATTGTAAACTCCTCTGCCAGTGTTATAGCTAATCATGTGTAAGAAACGAGGTGTGATGGACTCTGATTGGGTATTAAAAAGGAGCAAGGTGGCTCACCTTGCGAATTCCATTACGTAACAAGTCAAATAAGCACTACTACACTAAGAACTGACAGTTTCGGGGTTTCATTTCGTATTCAATTTCACAATTGTAGAGGCACTGCAGAAATTATACTTCGAAGGAAGTACAGTACAAGTACGGAGTACTTGTATTATGAGGAGATACACACCAAAGAACTGACAGTTTCGGGGTTTCATTTTGTATTCACAGGCAATTTCACAATTGTAGTGGCATTGCAGAAAGCCCGTTACAACCCGTTGCTGGTGGCTGATCGATTACAGTACAGTACGAGGACTCAATCGCGCTCTGTACTGTACAGTGCAGAGCGTACAACTTGTGATGTGTGGGAATTGTGTGATTGATGATCAATGACGACGCACCTGCACCGTCCGTCCGTGGTGTACGGTAAAACTTACTGTACTGCAATGAGTGTATGCCGCCAACGCTATGTTGTGGGTAACAGTATAATAGTATACTGCGATATAAACTTTGTCGGGTCGTCGTTTAACGTCCATTCGAAATGGGAATGCCATGGTCCATTCCAATTCTTGTGCTTTGATCTGGCTGGTGCGGGCGTACTATGCGCCGTGTGGATGATTGGCGAGCAAGTTACACACTGCTGGACTTTAGCAGGGAGCACTGGTTCCCCATGTACTTGGATAGTGGAATTGGTCAAGAATTCAACGGTATAACCGGCGTGGATTCGCTGTATCCATGGCACTTTTCACCTACATTTGGCTGAAATCGCCTTAAATAGTCCCAAACAGAAATATCTTGGGCGTGTTTTGAATTTTAGCCAATCACAATGCATGGTTAATGCAGACAGTTACACCGCTTCAAACGTTACACATGCCGGTCACTCTAAGCAGATTACGCATCAATATTTATTTGTTTCGTATCATAATATAATGTTTGCATTCAAATACCAAAGCAACAATAAACGCTATGTAAAATAATGTGTGGACGTCAATTTAATTGCAGCACATTGGCGGGCAGAGAATCCGGATATGTAGCCCATATCCGGAAAATAGCCGTGACTGCCTCGCTACGTTCTTAAAATACAACCACCGCCGAGACAGCGCAGTCACTACCAGCAAGAGGCGGCCTACGATGTCCGCGATGCTGAAGGGTCGACAGAACAATGACATCCTTACGGTCGACCAGATTGTGAATGAGGACGACTGGGTGCCTAATTCCGAACGATTCCGCTGCCATGTGTGCACTCGCAACTTTAACACGATCCGCAGACGACATCATTGTCGCATGGTACGCGCACCCACCATCTCCATCATGTCCTCAGACTTCACGTACATAGTGCGGTGAAGTGGTGTGCGGCAACTGCACCCTGAAGAAACTGGCGCAGATCCCGCAGCGCCCGACGCTGCAGGAAGTCCGTGTGTGCATGTCGTGTATTTTGAACCATGCCAACAAGCAGGCGAACCCGATGCACCACCAAGGAGCCGCCCCCGCGCAAATCCAACGCGGCGGCCAACGCGGATCCATCCAAAGCACACGCACGGACACACATTCGCACACAGGAGAGACCATTCGCTACAGCAACCGCGAAAGCAACATGGATCGACTCGACTCGCCCCCTGAGAACTCGGTCGGCGAGCGCGCGCATTTCACGCGCAGTGACCAAGGCGACAACGTCGTAGACTACCCGTTGGACTACAGTTGGGGCTACGCGTGGCCGAAGCCGCCTGTGCTTCCTGACGAAGTCGACCGGCTCGCAGTGCTGCGCAGCTTTGACGTGTTGGACACCCCCACGGAAGACGTGTTCGACATCATCTGCGACCTGGCGAGCAACGCGCTCAAGTGTCCGATCTCGGCCGTGAGTTTGATCGACGAAGACCGGCAGTGGTTCAAGGCCAGCGTCGGGTTGGCGCAGACCGAGATTCCACGGAACGTGAGCTTTTGCGCGCACACGATCATCTCCAAGGAGCCCATGGTCGTGCTGGACACGCTACAAGACAAGCGGTTCATGAAGAACCCACTCGTGACGGGCGGCGCTGGCATCCGGTTCTACGCGGGGTCGCCCATCTGCACCCCGTCCGGCCACGTCATCGGCACCGTGTTTGTGTTTGACAACCAGCCGCGGACATCGTGCGACCTGGCGACGCTTGAGAAGCTGTCGAACGTTGCGATGAAAAACTTGGAGGACCGAAAGAACGGCACGGCCCCGCTGCCTCCGTTGAACAAGCAGCAGCAGCCACCGTCCACGTCGACCCCCGCGCCTCCCCCGCCGCCGCCTGGCGCGATCGTGTCGGTAGCACCGAGCGACCTCAACACACAAGACTTGGTGGTCCAAGGACCCGCCGGAAACGGCCCTGGCGACGGCCAAGTCGTTGGCGGACCCAAGATGGAGACGATGCTCATGGACTTGCTGTGCCGCACCACGGAAACGCAGCAGCAACTTGCTGCGCAACAAGGCGTCATGTTCCAGCAACTGGGCCAGCACACCCAAAAGATCGACGAGTTGGCCGACGCCGTCAAGCGTATGGAAGCCAAGCTAGACGGCATCTAACACGCGTCTTCATCCATCGTCTCTATGTCACACATTTGCATCCTCCTATAGAATAGACGTTGAGCTCGCACTCGCCTGTAATACATTTCATATTTCTCGCCGTCTTTGATACAGTCAGGATGCACTGTAAAGTATTACTACGTAGTACAACGTAGTACTTCGAAGTACATATTGTCGATTTGATACAAATTATCCACAATCGATCAGATTGGTTAAATTTCATTGAGAAGGTTTTGATTGGCTAACAATTTTGAGCTCATCTGAGGTAGCCAATCAAATCGATTTAAATTCCAACGAGAAACCACGCCACAACATGAAAATTCACTCAAAAGCACAATACTACTACGTAGTACGTAGTACCGGTACGTACTATTGTTGTTTCACCCAAAATTTGGACTTTTGTGATGAATCGCCAAATCTATCGATCGATTCTTTCTACTGAATGTATGTAAAAAGTTGACCGATTGGTATCACACTAATTGAAGTCACACACTAATTTTAAGTTGTTGATGATGGTTTACTGCAATCTGATTGGCTCAATTCTTCTGCCGATTCTTCAGTACAATTGGTTGTGTCGATTCATTCTCCATGTCGCTCTAGTGTTTGGGTGTCGAATGAGCAGCACCAATAGACAATCGATCGACCAATCAAAACCCAGAACACTAATCAAGTGACCAATCAAATTTACTCTTCGACCAAAACTAGGGTGTGTGACTGAAATTAGTGTGATAATGGACAATCTTTACATACAAAAAAGTCAGGACAAAGAATCGATCGATAGATTTGGCGAATCATCACAAAAGTCAACCAAATTTTGGGTAGAAGGGCAATACTGAGTTTGGTATAATTGTCACATTAATATTGTTCATGCGATGGTTTGTTTGTTTGATTGGCCACTTGATTCATGTTCTGGGTTTTGATTAGTCGATGGATTTCCGTAGATTTGGTACTGTCTCCAATAATGTTTCATCCACATGACAAAATATTAACGCTGACTGTACTACGAGATGGAATAATAATGAAAAAAAAGTACTATAATAGTACAGGCGGCATACCCATATATATATATATATATACTGTATATATTACGTTATATACATACAGCAATATGGAAAAATATATCGTTATTTCTCGATAATATCTTATCGTGCAACATCAATCTTTATTGCCCCATTCTATTCGATATCGAGATACACGTGCGATACATATCGATATGGTATAGTGTTTCACATTCGATATATATTACGATTTCCCAATCGCTGTATACATTTGCATCTCTCTCGCATTGTTCAAATGTGTTAATCACGGTGGGCGTTAATAAATACCATACTGTCTTCTTGTTCTTCCCGGGCATCTAACTTGGCTTCCATCCGTTTAACGGCGTCGGCCAGTTTGTCAATCTGCACCGTGTGTTGACCCAGGGTCTGGAACATCGCGCCTTGCTGCGTCGCGAGCTGCTGCTGTGTTTCCGTGGTACGGCAGAGCAAGTCCATGAGCATCGTCTCCATCTTAGGCCCGGCCACGACTTGGCCATCGAAAGTGTTGTTCGCTGCTTGAACTACCAAGTCCTGCGAGTCCAACTGGGCATTTGGCGGCGGCGGGGGGGCCACCACGACCGCCGTCGTTTCTGCAGCACCATCCTTGATGGACATGGTGCTGTTGCGGGCTCTATTGCGGTCCTCCAAGTTTTTCATCGCAACGTTCGACAGCTTCTCAAGCGTCGCCAGGTCGCACGATGTCCGCGGCTGGTTGTCAAACACAAACACGGTGCCGATGACATGGCCGGACGGGGTGCAGATGGGCGACCCCGCGTAGAACCTGATGCTGGCGGCCCCCGTCACGAGAGGGTTCTTCATGAACCGCTTGTCCTGAAGCGCGTCCAGCACGACCATGGGCTCCTTGGAGATGATCGTATGGGCGCAAAAGCTCACGTTCCGTGGAATCTCGGTCTGCGCCAACCCGACGCTGGCCTTGAACCACTGCCGGTCTTCGTCGATCAAACTCACGACAGCGATCGGACACTTCAGCGCGTTGCTTGCGAGTTCGCAGATGATGTCGAACACGTCTTCCGTGGGCGAGTCGAGGATGTCAAAGCTGTGAAGCATGGCGAGCCGGTCGAGTTCGTCTGGAAGCACAGGTGGCTTGGGCCACGCGTAGCCCCAGCTGAAGTCCAACGGGTAATCGATGGTATCGGAGGCATCGCCGCGGCTCAAGTGACGGCCCGACGAACGCTCAACGAACGACTCGTGTGGGGAATACGGGTTCGTGTGCTCCGAGTGTTTGCGCGAGTCGACCGTGTCCCGAGACGAATAACGCATGGCTTGCTCGGACGGTGGACGTATCACGGAAGTCGACGACGACACGATCTGCGGCGGCAAGGCCGCAGATGCACCGTTTTGCTTTGTCGCGTGTATCAAGATACATGACATGCACACTTTGACGTCAGTGCGACCTTTCACAGGCAACTCCGCGTACTTCTTGAGCAAGCAGTTGTAGCACACGACTTCCCCGCACTATGAACACCGTCATTGAAGTGTTGGGGCGAGATGCAACCACGATATGGACGTACCACGCGGCAATGGTGACGGCGCCGAAGCTTCGTGAAGTTCCGTGTACACACGTGGCATCGGTGGCGCTCCGAGTCACGCACCCAATCGTCCTGATGCATAAGCTGGTCCATGCGCAGGACGTCGGTGCTGCCGTTATTCACGCGCATCATCTCCTTGTTGTGCTTTGGTCGCACCGATGCCGTTTCTCTTTGACCGTCCTTACCTTCCCTGATTTTCGATCGTTCGGTAAAGTACCCCATGTGTTTGAAACCAAATTCTCGTGCGTTGATTGGTGGAAATCTTCATCAAGCCAGTCCACTGGAGTTTTAATCTTAAACGTTTATACTACTGTAATACGAAGTACGTCGCAGTACAAAACGTGTCATTTAAAAGTTTTAAAAAATCACACATTTTATAAAACGTAGATGGCCAGTTTATGGTGCATGGGACAGTTTAAGGTTCACAATCTTGATTATGGAATAGCCAATCGATTCTCTAGAAAAACAAAATCACCAAAACATAAGCAAAATTGCAATACATATCTTAAGCTTAATCCGGGCACCATAAATCGTCCCTTTTATTTTGCCTCGACATAAGTGAAAATTGAAGTAAATGAACCCTAAGCTGAAGTGTAATCAAGCCAATTAAATAATCAGAAGAATGCCCAACCTATCGGCTTCATACAGCACTTTTCAGAAATGAAATCCCGGTCCAGAGAGACGAATACTGTAAGCTGCATTCTACGTCGAGGTGTCGTTCAAGTGCACCATAAACTGGCCATCTTCATTGCATGCCCAGCCCAATAAGAGGTGTACAAAACCCTTTTTGAAATCCATGAGTAATCGCTGATTGGACAGAAAGTCGGTTTCACACTGTCAAATAGTCTATGACGTGGCATTTAAAGGTCCAAACGACAGCAGCGACAATTCTCAACTTATTTCTCGCCCACTACATAGTAGCTTTAAACATATACGCAGTCCAACAAGTAAGTTACATCCAATTCACACGACGACTTCTCCTATCAAGGCTGCCGTCGCATCCTTCCGTATCAGCAATAGAACGGCGACCGCCTCTGCCAAAGCGCTCTGCAAGTGAATGCGTCGAATGCCAGCAGGCATTTGCCGCTCAACAAAGGCAACGCGACAAAGAACAGCTAGACCACCTCGCCGCGCCGTAGCTCGTAGCCACGACGCTACAGCTAAACAGCCGACTAATGGTGTGGGTAATACTATGACAGTGATTAATTGAGTAATATTATGAGTGACTTTGAGTAATAAATACTATGGGAGTGACTTTGAGTAATACTATGACAGTGACTGTTAAGTAATATGTACTATGACAAGGACTTTGGGTATGACAGTGACTTTGAACACATATGGTAACAGTGAGCATATTGTCAGAACGTCATGCATAAGGACTACACTGCAATGTGAGAACATTACTGCCGACGGTGCGTGTAGTGACGGATAATGGCAAGAAAGCAGTACTGTAAAACGTTCACCAAAGTGTGCCCAATGTAACCTAACAGTTACTACTTCTATTGATGTTCTAACTTTTCACCCGTGTAGCGACAAGTAGTCTCGAAATCCCCGACCTTGCCGTTGGCTCCCTCCTTATTGCTTTCAACTTGTTGCCTACCCCTCCAGCTCACGCCTATCACCCCCTCGCACAACCCCTTTACCACCCCTACCACTCCACTTTACCGTAGCGGTTGAGAACAAAAAAAAATACGAATAGTCCAATTTAAGGTGCACGCGAATTAGCCAATCAATTCCTACAAAGGCAGTTTTTAACCTAACCGCCAAAAAAATATGCAAATGGATTTACAAAGAGCTTGTTTTAACATGACGGTTAACCAAGTGGAGTGAATGATAATAAATTATAACAGGAATCATATCGCATTCATAACTCCCGAATAGGCCAGGATTTTGGCTTCATGTATGTATTGTAGAATTATATTCCGATATGAGTGATGATTCGGATTCTTCTTGACGTTTATGCCATCAACCAACGAGCAGATTGCACATTGGCATTGAAACAACTCAACCTGGTCGATGGGATGCACATGAGTCGGTTTTTAGAGTTACGCAATCCAGTGCTTTTGCAGTCACTGTATTCTACAAACTATTAGTACATAAGCAGATAAAACTAAAATTCCATAGGACAAGCCCATGAACTAAAGTCGATTTTGCTGACTTTGCAGCCATGGCCCCCGCAACTACTGTACCCCCGTGAGATGACGTATACACGCATTTGTTGTGTTTATCTCATGTACTTTACAACGAACTCAACCGGGCCGCGACGTTCAGCTGCTGAAAACGCACGACTTGCTTCTCGCCCATGCCCACGTTCATGAGGTCTCGGATGGACGTGAAGTGGACTCGGTTTTCCCGCCCTTTGATGATCTTGGCCGCTTTCTTCTCGCCGATGCTTTGAAGCGCCATCAAAGCCGCCATCGATCCGTGGTTGAACGTGTGGAGGATGTCCTCCTCCAAAATACGCTGCACGGTCGCATGCAGCGGGCGCTTGGATCCGTCGACTTCGGACTCGGGCGTGGACATGGCGGCCGCTAGGGCTTGCATCCGCGCCTGGAGCTTCTCGTTGGGGGTGTCCAACAGCAGCGTGGCTTGCCTGTACAAGGCCAAGGCAGGTCGAGCCTTGCCCCGTTTTTCAAAGTCCACCGCCATCGTCAGCAAGTGCTTGATGCCTTCCTTCTCTCTACTCAAGGTGATGTGGCGGACGAATGAATGGACAAGGGCTTACACTGGCGGGGGCTGACGTAAAAATGCACGACCAGGAACAACACGACTGCCTGCAAGGGGTTGGAGCCGACGCGTAGCCGCTGTTCGATCCCGCGACGACGGAGTAGCATCCATGACTACACATGATGACGATGACGACGACGATGACTCTTCATGCAATCGGAATCGCTTCATGGATGCCCTCGACCGAGTCGAAATAGCATCGTCGCGACGTCGCTTGGCGCACGGCGCGGCAGTGTCCATAGATGGCGTTGCGGCAGGTCTGGTCTTGGGGGTCAGTTCCAAGGACGAACACGATAACCTTGGCGAAGAAATCGACGAAGAAGATGAGCCTGATGGTGAGAGGACAGGGGCAGCGGTCGGCGACGCGACGACAACATGCCTCTGTTTGGCGGCGCACTGCAACGCTTCCAACGTGTCCTTGACCACGACAGAGGCGGGGGAGATGGTGCACACCATGACGGCAATGGACGAATGGGCAACGCTGTCGGCTAACAACCGCGCGACGGGGCTCTCGTCGAGGGGTTGCATGTCGAGCATCATGGACGCGGACTCTTGCACGGTCGGACAAATGTCGTCATGGCCGGCGAGATCGATGAGGTGCAGATGGCCCACGCGCACAAGGCCGTCGAACCCGCGGGATTCCACGCGCACGTGGAGAAGGCTGTGGCTGCGGCTGCTTTTTGCATGATACGTGGCGGCCCCCTTGCGCCGAAATTTGCACGCTCGTTCGTACAACGCCTCGAAGTCGGCAAAGGATGCAATGTGTCGAGTGATCAAGCCATCGACGACCACACGACCAGATGCAGACGTCGATAGAGATAATTCGTCTTGGTGCAGTTTGGTGGTCGTGGCGGCGAGAAAGTCCATCACTTTGTCGTTGTGGATCTCAACAAACGACATTTCCACGCGATACGTAGCGACCTGTTGTTGTCCGAATTGAAACACTTTCTGCATGGTGCGCGGCACGACGCCTGGGTTCTTCGCTGTCCCTTCCATCGTATGCGTTTTGCCACTGCCGCTAGCACCAGATGCAAACACGGTGACGTTGGTGCCATCAAAGACCGTAGGAATCAAGTTGGCAAACTCCTTGTGGAACAAGTCGCGCTGGTTCAGTCGTTCGTCGTATACGAGGTCCACATCAAAGAGGTGATCGTCGACTTGAACCTGGTGCGGTTTGCACGATGATGCTCGAACAACCTTGACGCAGCAAGTGCTTCCCTTCTTCGCCTCGGAGGGGATCATTGGACGCACCCGCACCACGACCTTCATGTGCGGAGGTGGCAGAAGGAAGATTGATGTCATGACTGGTTTTTCTCGTCGGTAAGAAGTGAGGTATCCCCCCGGCGGACGTGGCGCGGTAGAGAGGATTCGAAAATGGTACGAAATGACTTTGTTTGAAGATCTTTTATCCGGACAAAACCGTTATGCGGAGGCGTTCTAAGTTATGATTGGCTAAAACTATGGAACTACCTGGGGTTCTGAAGTTCAACCGCCGTGGCTGACAAATTCGTAGGCGAGATGCTTTAGCCTCGTAAGAAGGCCCAGATCATGGCGTAGGCTAAATCGGGCTTAATGTGTGGCGCTGTTGTTGGAGGACGTGGCACTGCAGAGGTGATATGGACCGCACAGCCACAATCAAGGCAGCATCAAACATCACAACCACGAAATGAGGAATAATTGGTTATAATTTCAGGATTTTATCCAATCCACTTAGACTAAATGTGACTCACAACAACCAAGCGACATAAAATCACATCACAGTAACCGCCAGAGGTACTTGGCGGTTTCACGGGAAATGGCAGCAACAGAGCGGCGACGCGACCACAAAGCCATCTTAGAGTGCTCCAAGCAGGATGTATGGACCATTTGGTATGCCGCTGAACATGGCAAGGTTGACCGTGTGCGTTCGCTTCTTGACCAAAAGAACTCCATCCTCAACGTCCAAGAGCCGGTAACAGGACAGACATCACATTCGACATCATTGATGTTATGGTGTTTATACAGCGCATGCAGTGGACGCCACTGCATTTCGCAGCTCGCTACGCACAAGAAGCCGTGATTCGGGTGCTGTTAGAGTACCGAGCCAACCCCGATGTAGTCGATAAGGTGCAGTACTTACATGTAGAGTTTTGAACGACAGGATGCATATTTGGGCATTTTGACTGACATGTGTGTTTTACTAGGATGGTAACACGGCACTGCACTTGTGTGCTGGATGGGGCTCGTTGCGCTGCTGTGTGCTGCTCTTGGAAGGTGGCGCAGACTCGCAGTGCCTCAATGCTGTACGAACAACGTCGTTGCTTTTAGTAACATGTCCATAGCGATCCCTTTCTGCTCTGGAAATGGCATGTACCATGGACCATGCTGACATTGCCAGTATATTGCGGTCGTGGGTCCCTGTCGAACTGTCGTTGGCCGGTACTGCACGTGTAACACGCTGACACTTGACTTACCGCCACCACCACTGTAGAGCGACGGGAGAAGAAGCAGCGTATCGATGCACACGTTTGTGCAGATGACTTGGTCCATCGGCACGAGCCTGAGCTCGTGTACTTGGAGTTGCGTGCACTCAAGTCCAAAGAGTCCACCCTTGGGCCAAACCATCCTGGTACGTCGCGATAGTTTGTAGTCCAATCTCCTCATGGGCATCATCACTAGGCATCGTCGCGACCTTGATAAAGCTAGCCAAACAATTCACGTAGTACATGGACACATTTATTGGCACCCGCCTAACAAGCAACCATAGGACGCTCCACCGAGCGACCGACGCGATTCAATCGTTGCGTCGGGCCGTTTCCATCAACGCATTGCATTTTGGCGACAATCATGTCGACACTGCCATTTTGCGCAACAACTTGGCAGCGGCGCTGTTTTTCTTTCGCGATGGCAACTCGGCTTATGTGGAAGAAAGTGTGGGGCTGCTTCAAACTGCACTTCAAGTGCTCTCGGATTATTATTCGTCGTCGTACGTACGAACCTCGTGTGTGTTCGACTGTCACATGTAGAGCTAGGGCAACAAAAAACAACTCGATGGATCGGTCGACATGCTTGGAGAACCTGTGCATCTGCTTGCAATCGTCGTCACAGCATGCGCTGGCCCATGGGTACATGCACGAGTTGCTGGCCGCGTTTGGGGCCACGTATGGCACCGACCACGAAAAGGTGCTGGGGCTGCAGTTGGCGCTGGCAACCAAGTACATTGCCCAGGTTCGAAGTTGACAGTGGTCACTACTACAAACTAGTACATGGCAATGAACGACGACGTAGAAACGATTCGACGACGGTGAGGCAGTGTTCCACCGGTGTATCACCATCGCCATGACCAAACACGGCCGGAACCACCGAACTGTGTCGCATGCAGTCGACTGCCTTGGCCGCGCGTACTTCGTTCGAGGCCGCTTCGACGTACGTACGTATGTGGGTCCATGGAATACTACTGCGGCGGCGGCGGCTCAGGGTGGTTTGTAGTTGGCCCAAGAAGCGTTTCGCCAGTCGCTTGAGATTCTCCTCGTGCTTTACGACGCGTCCCATGTCGACATCATCCGAGGGCACAACAACGTGGCCATGGTCGCCATCGGCATGCAAAATGCCGACGTCGTGCGCGATCGACTACAGCGCATCAACTTTTAACTGTGCTAGGAACAACAACTACGATAGTACGCTGTGTTAACTATTACTAATACTAACTACTGTATTATTAATACTACGTAGTAGTAACTAACGTTACTGGGAGATGCAGGAACTGGCAAAAACTCATCATATTACGAAGTTATGGAAGGCCAAAATAGAGGCATTCATGATTGGCGAAAGCGAAACTGGAGTTTCCTCGCAGTCATCCAACTTGTTGGAGAGGGACATTGGCTGTTGTACTGACACGCTTTCTATCTGCATGTGCGATGCCTTGCATTCAAAAAATTCGCGCCGTTTCACATTGAAAACACAACAGTTCCGGATATTTCATCACTTTTGCGGATGCAATATTTTTATTGCGCATGTGCATGTTTTTGTGGTACAGTACTCGGACGACATGTCGACATGCACGTATATCGAAAATGGACGAACTTTGAGGACGCTTTTCTCGAGCTGTGTAATACTTTGAGCAATACTACTCGTACTACAAGATAGTCCATTACTAGCTCAGCCTATGCAGCATGGTCTGCACATACACAGCTCACTCTGGCATGAGGCATCTTACCCGCATGTACACGCTTGTTCTTGAAATACGACGAATTTGGCAAGTTCGAAGTTGTCTTTCTCTACAGCTGTTGATTCAGGCGACATGCAATAAGGTGTTGTAGATAGTACTGGTTGTTGTTATGAGGAATGGAGAGTTTCGTGACCCGTTGTGCAGTATGCATTGAGAAATCGCTGGCCTGCATCGCGCCTTTCCCGCATGTACGCCTGCAGATTGCGCAGGCGTACATGCGGGAAAGGCGCGATGCAGGCTTTGGGCAAAACGTAAATAATTATGGAGATGAATAAAAAATACGCATACTTAATACAAATATCAACATAAACATGTTCAAGCGAATAATAATATGTAACTGTCGCACGCATGTACACGTGTGATTCCGTGGAAGTGGCAGATTCAGTTCCTGGTTGACTCGCACGCGAAAACTTGAATAAAGATGCATGTATTCCCTCGACAATAGTACACCATGATTTGAAGGAATCAAGGACCTTGAATTCTTCATAGTGATGTGTTTGTGTCCTGTTCCCGCATCTCCCTGGCACTATTAGTACGAAGTACCAATTTAGGACAGTACTTCGAAGTATGATTGGAGGCGTTTACTTATTGAGCTGTATTAGTACAGTCAATTGGAAGTGACGACGACTACAATCAGAGAGATCCACTAATGGGAATTCAGTACCGGTAGCATAGCCATAACGAATGTGAAATGTACAGTACCAGGCACTAACTAGGCCACTTACATAACACCAGGCCCAACTTAAAAGTACACACTTCATCTACCAGTACTGTACACTCTCAACCTTCTCTCTCTCACTCTACAGCTCCGTACGAGGTGCATCCAAGTCCATGACGGCGTTCGGGTTGGGGTGGTACCCCGACGTGGCCAGCGCTTGGCCTCCGCGCTCCATCGTCTGCTTGTCACTCAACGCGACTTGAGACACCACTTGGCCCGACAAATTGTCAATCACTTCGCTCGAATAGTTTTCGACCTTCATGTCCAACAGCCCAAGCTCGTCGTCCTCCTCTTCCGTGCGGACGTACGTGTCGCATGTCATGTCTGGGTCGTCCGCCGCCGACCCGAACGGCGAGTAGATGAAGCTGTTGGCCAGCGGATCTTCTATGATGAGAGTGAATGGCGTGCCGTGCTTCAACGCTTCGAGTTTGTCCAGCCAGATCCGCAGCCCGGATCGACCGCCGTCGCTGTCGCCCACGGCAAACGGGTTGCCTTTGGTAATGTTCTCGGCAATCTAGTAATCATTCATGTATATGTACAGCTCCAAGAAAAGTCAAAGCAGTACCTTGTCCAATAGGCCTTCGATTGTCGTGTAGAGCCCTCCCAGGGACCCCGACATCATTTCCAATTCGATTTCAGGAATGTGGACACATGCCGAGTCAGATTTCAGCACATCGCGATCCAAGTACGACGCGTCCTAGTTCAACATTCCCATCAGAATCATAGGCGACATGTGCTGGCTGCCGCACCTGGACATGCAGCACCATGCGCTCTCCAAACGGCGGGATGGCGCCGCCAGCCTTGACTTCGTTGGTCTTGAACCCGCAATGCTCGCAATTGAACGCCATGATGATCACTTCTTTGAAGTGCGGGATGTCGGTGATGCACATCATGGACTCGCCATCTTTGAAGCATGAATGGCATTGCGTGGGGAACCGAATCGCCTACGTCGAGACCAACCATTTGGCATCGATTTGGAATCGCACAAGTCGGCCAACTTATGTACCTCGCGCTTGGCAATGTTGTTGTTTTGGGCGAGAAACGTATCGAGGCCGGCGTTCCGCGGCGGCAGCACGCGAGGCGCGTTGGACGGCGTGTCGTGGGCGTGGGAGGCATCGGGTTGCAGCCCACAGATCAAATCTTCGGCTTCGCTGCGGAAGTACGTGTCGATCTTCAATTGCGGGTCCACGTTCGGGGCATGCAAGTTTTCAATGTGCGAGTTGCCAGCTAGCGCAACATGAGAACAACCAAGACGACCTACGATGATGTGTACCTGGGTCGGTGATGATCACCGTGAAGGGGAGCGTGATCCCGGCGGCCATGAGCGCGAGGTTGGCGAGAAACTCGTCGATTTTCTGGGTCGTAGCCGGGTCAATCGCACGGCGTTCCTCTTGGTTCTCGCGAAGGCCTTCGATGGCTTTGGCAATGAAGCCCTGAAGCAAAAACGAACATGACGACACATAGAAATTAGTGTGTCGATACCTCGATCGTGTTGATGGTGCCCTGTTGGGTCTTGGCAGGGATCTCCAAGTCGATTTCAGGAAACACGATCACGGCGGTGTCGGACTTGATCAATTGGCGGTTCAAGTCTTCGCGGGTTTGCACCGCCAGCTCCATGCGCACGCCCTTCTCTTGGATCGTGCCTCCGAACTGAACTTCACTGTTCTTGAACCCACAATGTTCGCATGCAAACGACATGAGGATGACTTCGCGGAAGTACGGAATGCGAGTCAACAGCAACTTGGTCATGCCATCTTCGTGGCAGTTGATGCACAAACTCTGGAGTTCCGTGATGTTCGGGGTGTCGTCGTTGATGTCCGAGAACATCTCCGATTGCGTTGTGTCATCATCCTGCGTCGTCGCCGCCTTGTCACCTTCTTCGATGTCCAAGTGGACGCGGTCGCCTTTGTTGGTCGTCGTACCGCCGAGCGCGGCGGGGGCTTTGGCGGACATTTTCGTTGAATGGGCACGCACCACGCTCCCAAATCCGGTTATACATCCGGATAATACATCATCAGCCAATCAGTTGCCAGTATTGAGGTGATTTGATTGGCTGGGAAATGACAACCTTCTCGAACCGTGAACTACGCGATGCAAACTGCCAGCAGCTACAGTACAGTTGTTGGCTTGCACGGGAGCTCCATGCGGCGGCTTACTGTCCCTTTGGTGAATGCAGTACTTTAGCTTGTCGTGGAGCCTTTCGTTGAGAAAAATAGCCAGCAACGGCTCAGAGCAAAGTGCACCGAGCAATTTTCATGACGTGGCGGCATCCTAGCTCGAGGTAACCTACCAAAAAGTTCAACCTTCAGGCCAATGCCTTGGCCTGGCATTTTGCGTTCAGACTGGGCCTGACATTGGATTGGCGGCAACGTCATTGTAGGGCGAGCACGATGCCCTACAATGACGTTAGTCCGCCCGTGCCGAGCTTGGTACCGTCAAATATTCTCGACACCACGAGGCATGCATCCTGCACTCGATGCTGGGAAAGCACTTGTTGAATGGGTCGACCCGCTGTGCTGTGCGGTTAGTAGTTCGCGTCGGAGCCTTGGTGTGAAGGAGCCCAAGAGTCCTACGGTCAACCGGTTGGACTAGGTTTTGCAAAATCTTTATTGCACTGGTACGTTGCGGCAGTGCTTCATGCATTCATGCACTGCACCACGTGCATGTTGGCCTCGGTAAATGTACTGTATCGTATGCGACAGACCTTGCTTTCATACTGGTATGTGCAACCGCGGAGACAATGTACTTCGTATCGGGAATCCAAGCATAGTGCAGACAATGCAGTGTCTGGGGTTTGGACTTTCGCCAAATCCATCGAGGTACATACTGTAGCGCACAGTGTGGAACGGTAATAACCAATATATCCCATCGTTTGTGTCATATGGATCTGGTAATGTGCTGGCGACGCAACCATTTGTAGCCACTATACGTACCGTATATGTAGGTCACCAAATGCCGGGAGGACGGCGTCATTTCAAGGTCAAAAATGGGTGCAGCGCCAACGTGTAAAGTCAAATCGACTTGGTGCCTGTCACATGCGTGTCACAACCCATTTGAAACGTGTGCAATCCACTCAGTTTGCATGGCTTGGTCACTGGAAACAAGCAGTGGTAGGTACAGTACCTCGAGAACAACCTTCCTCGCGGATATCTTACCTACATGTAGTAATCGCAATGAAGACTATACGATGTGCGAATAAGTGCCAACGCTCCCGACGTTTGGTGGACATTGTGGCGTGAAAGGTTTTCCAAATTGACTAGCGTTGATGATGTCGACAGAGTAAGATTGAACCCTCTCCAGTGACTCGAACAAGAGCTAGTAAACCACGTGGATATGTGTCAAGCGTAGGATGATACAGTGTGTAGCATCGCTGTGTGGGGCGTACATCACTTCCACAACCCGCAACTTGATTGTGCTACGCCCCAACGATGACAATCGATCGCTGGGTGCTGAACCCTTGCCGACCCATGGTAAGCCAGCTGAAACCAGGGTAAAGAACCGGCACTGTCGAGCTCAGGAGCCAATTCAAGGCGGGGCTCATGCCAGACGTTGGTTGACTGGTATCGCGCGCCCACAGCCTGCATACTATAGTTTACTGTACATCAGTTGTGTAATGGAAGGTGTCTCACCATTGAGCCAATCAAATCGCGCGACTTTGCAAACATCCAACACGTTAAACTCAATTTAACGTGGGTTAAACCCGTACAGAGGCGCGATGAACCCTTTTTATCGATCCACCCGTGAGGTTTCAGTTCCCAAAACACTCCAGTGAAGTCCTGCTCCCTAGCATGAGCAGCAACGGCGACGCCACTACGAGCGACTCCCGTCGCAGCTCCGTGATCTCACGGATCACTAAGAGCACCACATCCTCTTCTGACGCGCATCTGACGGCGGATCAACTCGTGAATCATGACCAATGGGTCCCAGACAGCGAACGACACCGCTGCCTTGTGTGCACGCGCAGCTTTAGCAACTTCCGCCGCAAACATCATTGCCGTCGGGTACGGCCGAATCTTTCTCAAATTTATAGGTCCATGTATTCACGGTGTCCGTTGTAGTGCGGGGAAGTTGTGTGCAAGGGATGTCTGCTAAAGAGGAATGCGCGACTGCCTGTGAAAGGATCAGTGGAAGTGAAGGTCTGTATGAACTGCGTCCTTGTGGACGCAGAAGTTCCCGACAATGCCTTGACGGTCGGCATGCGGGAAAACTCGGCCACAGCCTCTTCTCTTTCGTCGCGATCGCTGGACTGGCAGAGTCATGTCCACAATCCACCGTCGTCCCCGTCTGGTGCTTCGTCCCATGCTGCTCTCGACATCGACGACGATGCGATCAATACATCCACATGTGACGACCCACTAGACTACTCGTGGCGATATCCATGGCCCAAGGCGCCCGTCCTCGCCGACGAAGACGTGCGGTTGGACGTCCTTCGCAGCTACAACATCTTGGACAGCGCGCCAGAAGAAAAGTTTGACATTGCATGCACGTTGGCCGCCAACTCGATGAAGTGTCCGTTGGCGGTGGTGTCGTTCATGGACAGTGAGCGCCAGTGGTTCAAGGCCAACGTCGGCCTCGCCCAGGCCGAGATACCTCGGAACGTGAGCTTTTGCGCCCACGCCGCCAAGTCCTCCGATCCCATGGTTGTGTGGAACACCATGCTGGACGTGCGCTTTGTCAAGAACCCGCTCGTGACTGGAAGTGCCGCCATCCGGTTCTACGCGGGCGTGCCACTGGTCGCGCCGACGGGGCACGTCGTTGGCACCGTCGCCGTCTTCGACAACCAACCGCGGCAAAGTGTCGACGTCGCGATGCTCGAGAAATTGGCGACGGTCGTGATGAAGTATTTGGAAGAACGTCGGGGGGCGTTGGCGGCCCCATCACCACAAACCCCACGCCAACTGAGGCAGCCGTCTGATGCCGCAACTGCCCCATGCCCGGGGACCGCGTCCCAAGCAGCGTTGTTCTCGGCTCCTGTGTCGACGGTCGCGGTTCCGGACGCGCCAACTGCCCCCGGGGCCAACATGGAAATGATGTTGATGACGTTGTTGTCCAAGACTACGGAAACCCAGCAACAACTCGCGTCTCAGCAAGGCGCCATGTTCAACACGTTGGGCCAGCACACGGAACAGATTGACAAGCTCGCCGATGCCGTCGCACGCATGGAAGCCAAGCTCTTGACACCAAGTGTCAACGAGACCATGACAACATAATTAAAAATAGCACGCTAGATACACGACGTCAGGGATGGCAAATTATATTATATTATTAGGTTTTTATAATACCTTTCAATAAAACCTACCGGTAATTTCAAAATTCGACCCACAACTGTAAATTTTGGTCTTTTTTAGAATATCAATTCGAGGTATCATTGACAGTGAGTCAACAAACAATGGATTTCGAGGTTAATGCTAAATTACGGTATTTGCCAATGTTGGCATGTTCATGAGCCTAGTAATAAGTTACTAGGTATCCCATACCAATGTATCTTGAACTCGTCATTCTGCTAGAGGGCAGTATCACCGGTACGTTTTCAAGTGCTCACACATTCTTTGCGTAGTATTGCCCTTTCAGCCAAATCAGCCAATTTGGATTTTGTGCTCATTTCCCAAATGTACTTATCACACTAATTGAAGTCACACACTAACCGATGATTTCCTGCAATCTGATTGGCTACAACAAGTGAAACACTATGTTGTCATTCATTTACACAGCCGACATCATGGTTTTTCACAGACCAGCCCCCTCAGGCAGGGGCAGGTCTGCGAACATTCCCGTCAAGCCTTTGTTTACTGTTAGAGAATCTATTGTGTGTTCTACTCAAATCTACTCAAATTTCCTCCGGCGGTTGGTTGAATGAACCGCCGAACAAACCTTAAATATTTAGGTTTTTTCATCCCTGGTCAGCGCAACCTGTAGGAAGGAGGTTCAGCCGTCAATCTCGATCGGGCGAGTGCGTACGGCATGACTCCAGTACTCGATGACTTCGAGAAACCACAGGCACTCGCGGTGAACGTCCTTGGCGGCAAGCGGGATGACTTGATGGGCTTGGATCCGTTCCGGCGATGGCTCGGGAACGCCTAGAGACCCGAGCACGGGGCCGATGATCATCACGTATTCTCCCACCCGAACGTTTAGCGATGGATTACTCTTAATCAGGCTCTGTATGTCGATCCACACCACGCCAGTGCCGTCGTCAACGGCAAATCGCGGGATCTGTACCTCCACGACCACCCCCTTCATGCGTGTCTTAGCATGTTGATGCAGAAAGACAAACCTCCATACCTGTATCCACGCGCGGATGAGTTCAACTCCTCTGTACATGTATTTGCTTCGACTCTCAGGGAGGCTTCGCGCCGACAGAAGTTGGCGCACGAACAGCTTCCGCGTCGCACTCACTTGGTTCATCGTTCGTTCCGTTGAATACGGCGATTTTCGGATGAATCCCTGCAATCCGGATATCCTCCAATTTCACAACATTGAAGTAGTGCGGTTGGGATGGTGGCAAACGAGCACAACGCCGCTCTCTGTGCGGTGCTTCACGCGACCTAGCTCAATCGTGTCACCCACATGCAGTTCTGTGCGCTGGTGCTGTTTATTGCCGTTGACGTATGTCCCGTTCTTGCTTCCCAAGTCTTCCACCATCACCGCGCTACAGAGATGACGATGTAAGATCAACATTTCTAGCTGACGACATACGTATTGTCGACGACGATGACCCGAAGGTGCTGTTTGCTCACCAGCCCCGGATATTTGGGGCAGTCAACGATCACGTCGCAATGCTTGGCACTGCGTCCTAATACCATTCCGTTCGTCGTGACGTCGTCGTTATGAATGCGGATCACTTGCGCATCAGATGCACACGATGCGTCGAGGCGGACCAATTGCATGAGCATGGACGCCGATTTGGGGTTATACAGCTGGGGTAAACTGCAATTTGGCGTAGGCAGTGGAACTGGCGGTGGAACGATCACATGTTGTCGAAGTGCCGGCAACGCTTGGCTCCGCATCCGCGCCAGGAACGACGATTCGTCCTGTCGGCGCTTCTTGGCCGTCGCGTGCTACGTACTGGTCACAGATTGTCGTAGTCAAAACAACGATGTACCTTATCCATGTGTTGGGCAAACCACTTTTTGTTGTGAAACTTTTGTCCGCCGCACTGTGGGGCAAAACATCGGTGTATTTCCGGGGAATCGGGCGAAATACGTGGAAGCACCGCAGGCAAGGATTCTACAACCAATCGACACGATGACGTCGTTCCGGACGCGAGTAGTGGCGGTGTCAACTGAGACGACGTTTGCATCATCACTTCGCTGGCAGGAGTCATTGCGGCCTGCTCAAAGGCCCCGAGCGCAGTGCTGCCACACATTTCTGTGAGCTGGAACTTGTCATCTCTGGTGTCGTCGATTGGAAGTTGAGCCAATGAAACTGCCGTTTCCACAATGTGCTGCAATTTGATTGGCTTTCGTCGAATGCGACATTGAAGTTGAAGCAACTCCCGGGCACATTGTCGACGCCGTTGGCGTCGTTCAAACGCTTTCATTGAGTATAGGACTTGACTGGCTGCGTTTCTATCGCGCTTTCGCCGAATGTGCAGAAGAGCCATGCGCTGGATGAGCAACGCCGCGGTGGTTTCCACCTCGACGCGATGTTGTCGGCAGAACGACTGCAGGTCCTCCAAGCCTGTCTCAAGCCGGCTCAAGAGCTGCAGCAATTTTGGGCGCAACGTCAACAATGGGTACTCAAACATGGCTACGTCCAGCGCTTGAACGAAAAAGTACGCTTTCGATGATGAGTCGATGCGGACACCGCACCGGACGCAACTGTACGCGGCTGTTCCGAGCGAATGAAACGAGTTGTTCGTCACGTGGTCGCAGTTCAAAGCCACTTTGACCTTGGCCAGGTCGTTTATACACCCTTGAATACGCGATTTGATATTGGACGATGCCAAACGGGCCTGATGGACGCGGGCTGCGACGACGCGAACGGCGACAGGCCAATGAAGTGTCTTGTGCGCGGCCCGCAGCATACGGCGACTGAGAGCGCTGGGGCTTTTTTCTTTCCCACTTCGACCTGGATTCAGCGAATGAACGAAACAGCACCGATGCTGGTCGTGGTGGTGTAAATTTGACTGATTCAAAGGATGAGGTCGCAACAGACTCCCAGCGTGCAGACGCCATCGATTGACAACTTTCAACTTGAGCTCCGTAACCACCTTTCGTCGAACGAGCTGAAAACGCAGGTCCTTCGCGATATCCCCAAAGATCTGCCGGCACGCAGCAACGTGCGTCATGCATGCCACGGACTTGGTCAAAGCTAAATTTAGGCTTCAGTTAATACTATTGCGTGGGACAGTATTGCTCATACAAAACCATGGTTGTGGATTAAGTTAATAGAAAGGTAATAGCGCCCCTCCGAGCAGAATGTCATCACAAGTGTCGTGGTCGACTTTCCAATGGGTACGTTTGGGGTCTTTGCGGAGGCTAAACTGGCTGCTGCCCACGGCCATAACTGGCGCCATGGGATGTGTCACCACGGACTTTTTGAGAATGGACTTCGGTCGATGACGGTGTTTGTGAGCCGCCACTGTCGTTACCGTAGCTTGTTCGCACTCGTTCTCTTCAATGTCACTGGAGGACGCAGAACTGGTGGTTTCGGACCGTTCAATGCGCTGGTCATCATCGTCGTCGTCGGGGTTGTGTGGTGGCGATAGAGATATTGGCGCGTGGGCTGCTTTGGCATCAAAGTCTTCGTCCAACAGCACTGTCCATTCGCCTTCTTGGGTCACCAAGGCATTGGGCAGCCATTGAAAGATAGTGGGGTCCACGGCGATACCTAAAGGCTGCAGCGAGTCCGCCACTTCCGGTCGGCTGGGTGGTTTCTCCAGCGGCACGAAAGGTGTATCTGTATCAAAGCATTCGGGAACTGTATCGTGTAAATTCGCCATGTCTTCCATGGCTATGGTGAGCTCGGCCACATCGTGCGGAGTGAGCGGTGGCTGCATTTCTTCAAAGTCCAAGGGCTCGGCCACAGGAAACGAGGCGTCCATAGCCGCACACAGTTCGGCGGCGTCCCGACTTCGCCACACTACTGGTGGTTCCATTGATGGCGAGGATACGATTTTGAGCTTCTCGACTAAGTTGGGGTCTTGAATGAACGACTCGAGCGACTTGGCGACGGGGGACGGCACTTCATTCCATCGCTGCAGAAACGAGCGTTGAGGGGGCTGCGGTTTTGCAAGGCGTTTCTTCGTGGGGGTCAATGCCAACGAGGGCATGGGGGACCGACTAGACGACAGGAGCATCGCGGACAACTGAGTTTGGGGTGGTTGCACGATGCGACGAAACCCGCCTCCAACGCGTTTGAGGATGACATTTGCAGTGGTACTAGGTGGCGTCGGTCTCGGAGGGGGTGGAGTGGGAGTATGCACAACACCCGCGGGGGGACGCATGCCGTCCTCTTTTATAGGGGCGGTTGTTCGAAGGTCTGATCGAACTGGGGACAGGGGAATGCATGATGCTGGCTCAGGAGAAGTCGAAATAAACGCCCCGGTGCTCAGACTTCGCGGTGTGTCCACGAGCAGTTGCAACGATGCCTTCATCTGCCGTACTTGTTTTGCACTGACATATCTTCGAACGTGCGACTGAATTTTCACGGCACTCTGTCTCTGAAAACGAATGATTAGACCAGTTGTACTGTACCCTACGGTCCCACCTGCAAGTCGCGATGGGCTAGTTTTTGCAGTGTGTACTGGTGTTGCGCCCTATATCGCCGCAGATTGGATTGTATAGCAGTGGCCGCTTCCGTTTGTCGAGCTAACGCCCGCCGCACCCGCCAGCCCCGATGCCGCGCTTGGATCTGAACCGCGGACGAGTGCTCCAGGGCGAGTTGGGACGCCGCTTTCATCGCCTGCTGCCTTTCCCACGCCCGTTGCCTTCGCAGGTACTCGCGGTGTTTTCGCCTCTCGTCCAGTTGAACCTTGGCTTCGAGCCGTTGCATTTGATACTCGGCCAGTTTCTTGACCCGTTGATCGTCTTCTCGTTTTCTACGATCGTTTGTTCGTTATCAATGTCCACGAAATTGTAAATTCCCACACACACCTCTGGAGCTCTCGCGCGAGCATTCGCTTGGCGTTTTTGAGCGTGTGATCTTCATACATGTGACCTTGAAATGCCGTCGTGAACTTGTTCGATCGTGGCCGGTTGAACAGGTCCTTGGTCCGATACGAGTCGATCTGGACGCCAACATTGCCCGGCGAGGCATAGATATCTGGAAGCCGCGTCGTGGGGCCACCGCTTCCGTCTTGGTTGCGGCTCATGCGGTGCCTATTTTTACTGCTGGTAGCCCCGTCACAGTTTCAATAATATGCGTAACCCAGTCGTCCTTATGATGTGAAACGCACTCCATCAACATAAGAGAGGTTTAGGAACTCAAGTGTGCTTGGTTTGCATGTGCATGACCAATAATTTCGAAGTACTGTACTAGTACCTACATTGCCCCTTGAGCGACCCACACCGACGCCTCCGTGAACCTATGTTACCTTTATGGGTGTACAGTATCTATGGCCCTCGCAACACTACCGTGTAGTTACTTGTTACAGTAGGGACAACTGAAATCCACAGGTAACTAACTGCCTGGTGACTGCCGATTATGCAATCAAGTGTATGAATTGTCCCTGTCACAAATGGGGGCACGTGATACGATTTCATTATTCTCTGGCGTTGTTAACACAAATGCCGCCAGAATAAAGTCGCGCCCATCTATTATTCCCTTTGTGCAGGCAATTGTAACTGCCAGGGAAAGGGCATCGGTTTCGAAACCGTTTCGGTTATTGTGCCATCGTTTCGTTATCGTCCGAGTCTTCTTCGCCACTCGAGTCTTCGCCACTCAATTCTTCGTCACTGGAAGGTTCATCTTCTTCCAGCAACGCAGCTTCGATCTCGACCAAGCCCCAACCAGACTGCTGCTTGTGAAACGCCGCCAGTGCCGCGTCGAGCTGGTTGGCATACTCGTTCAAGTGCGCGTCGGCCGTCGATTGAATCCACGTCGCGTAGTCGTTGATAAACAACGTATTCAAGAGGTAATACGTCTCGGACGTTTCAAAGATGGAATGGATGGCCAGGAGCGCGCGCAGCACGACGCGCTTGCCCCGACGAAGCATGGCCACAACGTCGTTCACTACCACAACTCCAAGGTCCCACTGCCGTAGAAACGGATACACCAACGTCCGCCGCATGGTATTCCGCACGACGTCGGCCACGGTTGTCGTCGCCGGATCCAACCACGACAACGTCGAGCTCAAGATCGAAATCGTCCACGCTGACTCTACCGTCGGGTCGCCCTCGCTCGTTCGCAGGTCGTAGCTGTACGCGGCCAGAATGTCAAGCAGTCCGTGCCACACGACCGCGGCTTCGGCAGCGGTAAATGCCAGGTATTCCCGTCGGGGCAACCGCAACAGAGCTTCCTTCTCCTTGTCCGTCAACTCGATGCTGGAAGCGTGTAACGTCACGTTTGCGAGGCTATCTGTGACATGTGCAATCAACACCTTGGGCGGCGGCGGTGTCCACACTGGCAGCGCGGCCCAAAATGGTGTGTACGACATTGCGGCTTTAAAGTGGTCGTCCTCGCCTTGGTTGGCAAAGTCCAAAAGATATCGCTCGACATCAAAATCGTGGTCTTCCAGTTCGAGGCGCATCTTGGTTCGCTCGGCGGGGGTGGACGTCTCTGGTGTCGGCAATGACAGCACTTCATGCAGTTCGCCATGCCAGCACTTGAAGAAGTCGGAGAAGCGGTTGTTGAAGCCGTAGGTTGGCGGACCCACATGCAGCGACACATGTTCCTTTGGTGTTTCAAATGAAAGCAAACTCGAGTCTGTGGTTGACGATAACGATGACGGGGCTGGTGGTGGCGGCGGCGACGCACTCGCCTCTACCGACGAGGAGCCGCCGACGACTTCGATGAGCGGCGCAGGTAGACTAACACCATCAGTGTCCAAGTTAGTCCCAGAAATGCAAAGCTTTCCATGCTCGTACCTGTCGGGAAGGCCTTCGTCCTGAGGCCGCCATTTCTTCTGTTGGAGGAGGGTGGTAAGGAGATCGAGGTCGGGGAAATGGACATTCGGCGTCTCTTTAGGAAGATGCACCATGATTGTTCCGTGTTCCTGTGTGCCATGGTCAGCATTCATCGTTCACATGTTGCCAATGAATGATCTAGTTACCTTGTTGATGTCGTACACAGCCTTGGCGCGGTCGTCGTCGACTACGCCTCCTGGGAACGTTAGGTTGAGCAGGTATGGCTTGCACCAGAAGGTGAAGCTGGTGCCGTCAATGTGGTACTCCATTTCTGTCACCCGCACATACGGCACATGAATCTCCACGTACACCATCTTGTCATCCTGCGTGACCGTGAACCGCGGCGTCGATGGCATGTTGAATTGGTTGTTGTGCCACTATGGATTAGAATAAAATTAATGGCTTTGGCTACTAGTCAAATGTATGCAATTATTTTGTGTGCCCAAAATCGTGTCATCGAGTGATTTGATTGGCGGAGAACGATGGCGACGCTGCGGCACCGAGCGCTGCAAGAGAAAGACCGATGGAAGGAGTCGTCCGACGCTAGCCGCCGCCTTCGTCCGCTGCCCTTTTCTCTAGTGGAGAACGAAGACAAGCAAATCGTCCTTGATCGCATACTGCATGAACTTACACCCCTCCTTCCTGCCGTGGCGCCTCTGAAAGTTGTCGCGATCGGTGTCAACGCAGTCACGCGGCTCCTCGAGCGCCACCAGGCCAGCGTCGTTGTCCTTGCCATGAACCCGTCGGTGCAGCCTGCCGCATGGCACATCATGTCTATGGCAAGCATGTTTGCCGTCCCTATCTGTGTGCTGGCCACCACGTCCCAAGAACTTGGCGATGCCATGGGGCTGAAGGCTGCGTCCGCCGTAGCCCTCGCATCCATTCCGGACAACACTGGTGGGTCCATATCGTCGTCGTCGTCAGAAACCCACGTGGATCCAAATGTGTCGAGACAGTTTGCTTCCATTGCAGCGTACCTCGAGTCGAAGCAATCAATCGTTAGCCAGCCTCACGTCGTCCAGGTGCTTAAATATAAATGATTATCGGTCCATCCTACTCGTCGGACAACTACTATATCAACCCTTTGTTTCTTCGCCTTCGGTCTGCCTTTCCTGGAGCTTAGCCTCCATTCTCGCCACCGCTTCGGTCAGCATGTTGAGCTTGGTGCTGTTACTGCCCAAGCGCACGTACAAGTCGCCTTGCTGCGTGGCAATCTGCTGTTGGGTCAACGTAGTCTGACTCAAGAGCGTCATCAGCATCGTTTCCATGGAGCTTCCATCGGTAGCCTCTTCCTCGGACGACTGCCGCGGGTGCTCGGTGGTCGGCATAAAGTTCCCTGGCATCGAAGTCGTAAAGTCGTCGACGCTGGACCGCCGCTGGCTCGCGCACGATGTTGTGGCCATGTCCAGGATGTCCATCGAGTAGCTTCGCACTGGCTTCTCCATCTTCGTCGACACCAAGCTCCCTCGCCCCGCGATCGTCTGGTCCTCATCAAAGTAGCACGGGACGGACATGGTCGTCGTGACCCGAAAGCTCTCGTCCAGCGATGCCTTGCGCACAGACCGAAGGCGGCGCTCCACAAGCATCTTGGACACCATGTGGCCCAACCTCACGAGTTTCGACATGTCCACGTCGAATTCCGTGCGCGGTTCCGCATCCAGTACGAAGATCGTGCCCACGGCGACACTTTCGACCACGATCGGCACGCTCGCATAGAACCGGAACTGGCCGGCGCCAGTCACGAGCGGGTTAAAGCAGAAGCGCTCGTCCACGCGGGCATCCAGCACCACCACCGGCTGGTTCAAATACAGAGTATGCGTGCAAAATGACACTGTCCTTGGCATTTCTACGTTCACATGTGGCGTTGGGCACAGATTAGACCTCCTCTCTCAACCCAAGTAAGCAGCATACGCCCAGAGGAAAGGATAACTAACGCCCTTGTTTGCATTCATGGAAACTATATACTAGTATATATATAAATATAAATATATATATAAATATAAATATAAATATATATATAAATATATATATGTATATATACTATTGTCCAACACATCGTGAGAAACGGTTGGTTTTCAAAACTGTCGATATTTCCGCGATTGTTTTTTCAACCCAAGAAATGACATTTGAAGACTTTATGTAAACATTCGAGAATATATATTGAATTTTATAATCATAGTTTTTTCGCAGTTTATATGGTGCAGATGATCAACGACAAATCAGTATTGGACACGACGCAACTAACTTGAAGTCAACCATATATAACGTTGTAGTAGAAGAAGTGTGATATCAACTGAGCATCCATCGTCACGGAGGGGACATGACGATGTAGTTGTTGGGTACTTTATCATGAAGAGAAGGAGATGGTCATTATTCGAAGGAGGTAGGAAGTACCAGATTGGGCGAGTCCGCACGTTGCCTTGAACCACTGGCGGTCGTTTTGCAAGTCCATAAAGCCCACACAGGCGACCTTACAAGGCGGCGACGTGAACTTGCGAGCGGCGATGGCAATGCGATCGAACGATTCGTCTTTGGGGGTATCGAGGATGCGCAGACTGTTCAGGACGTCCTTGTGCTGACTCTCCACGAACGACGGCAGGGCGGGCGGCTTAGGCCACGGGTGCGCCCAGTCCCAGTCGAGGTCGTACGGGCTCGGGATCATGGCCGACGACGGAGGGGATTTTGGTGGCGTAGCGTTGGGTTTGGGTTGGGGAGTCGTGGCGAAATGCGTGATGGCCGGAGTTGACGATGGAGGCTGGACCTGCGTTTGGCGAGGCTCCGTGGTGACGAGACTGTGGCTGCACACGAGGCATATTTGGACGGTCGTGAGCTGTTTCATGGACACGATCACGGCGGTGACGGACGGCCGCAGCAACTTGGACACGCGACACTTGGAACACACGACTTCGCCACACTATGCGCGACACAGGTAAGACGGGGGAAGAGAGGGAGGAAGGTACTACCTTGCGACAGTTGTATTTGGGACGCAAGAGCGTCTGGAAATGCCGGCTGCAGCAAAAGCACTTGGACCGGCTTTGCTTGTCCACCCACCGGGCAGGAGGAGCCAAGTCTTCCTGTAACATGGCATTCGACGCCGACAGCGCCACCGACTCATCCTTGGTGATCGACGTGCGGGTCAACATGGACCTGTGAGGCGAAGTAGGTTTGAACATGATGGATGGGCCCTCCTTGGCGTTTGACGTGGAATTACCTAATGAATGTGGTGGATTTTTCCTCCAATCAAAATCGACGACCAAAATACGCAAAAATCGCAATTGCATAGAAACTTTCTCAAATTTCCCAATTCTGCTCCGTGAGCTACAACCTCGCTGCGATGTTTGATTGGCTCCTCAGAAAAGACATGGATAACACACATAGAATAATGTAGCCAATCAGCGAAACAAAAGTTTAGATCAACCAATCAAAGGTCGAGGCGAGGCTGAAAGGAAAGCTTAAGCTTACTGCCAGATTTGATTGAACGCAACAATACTGTATACTTGTCAAATTGGACACGACCAACGAAGTGTTCACATATTTATACGCTAACAGTCGGCGCCCCATGCATGGCCAATCGAGAACGAATTCCATGATGCCCAGGGACGCTTCAATATGAGACTTACCGGTAACGTTAGTCTGTACTACGGTACACTAGTACTCCCGTAGTACATCATGTATTTTCAAACAATTCACAAACGTTTTCAACAAAATCCCTGTAACGTTGTGGAAGCACAACCAGTGCATAACGTTAAGACTTACCCCAGGAGTACATAGTTACGAGTACAGTACGTATGCCGATGATTTGAATCGATCGACCATACTGGTACATAGTACTTCGAAGTAATAAGTACTAGTACTAGTATGTACAGTAACCTCAATTCGTACAATAAGTTACACTACATACGGCAGTACCACACTCCCAGCTCGATCACGTCGCAGGGTTGACGTAGACCAAGTGGGGGGTCATTGCACTCACAAAATAATACGTTTAGCGGTGACGGGGCAACCTCTTTGCCGCGTACGTACCCGGGGGAGAATGTCACAGGCAATTTATGCACCAGCCCCTAGACCTCGACATTGGTCAAACTATTTGCACCCAGTTCAGATATCATGAGGCATACAGTACTACAAGGGGGCGTGTTGTCGGTGGCAACATGGCCTAACGTTACATGCACGCTGAGTAGCGAAGCAGCCAACTAGAAGACCCGAGCATCATTCCCCTATTAAATTTAAGAGATGAGCTCACTGATGTCACCTTCCGTCACGCCTTTATGCATGCGGAGGCCATCGTACATACCACCGCCAGTAGTAGTACAAGGCACGACCACCAGTTATGGCAATTTGTAATCAAGGGGAGAACCAACGGCAGGCTACACTACCTGGTTGTGTTGACTTGAAAATCAGTCTGTGGGCGACATTTGAGTACGCCGTGTGGAAAGCTTGGGAGAAAAAGTCAATTTGGAACGACCGGTTACAACGCGTAACTGGTGGTCAACAAAGTGTGTACCGTTACTCTGTACTAGTAATTCACAATTCCAATTAAAGTACTGTATCCCTCCCGACAAATACTACGTAGTACAGTAACTTTCAACATTACGGCGTATTGCTTGTAGTACACTCTGGCGTGTAGTGTGCTGTAGTCGAATCGCAGCAAACATCTGTAAGTAAATCTTATGTAACTCTATGTGCACAAGGGAGTGGTAAAATTGTCGACCCAAAGCGTAATTTCACGTTGTCAGTGTCAAACAGTGCATTTGACAGTGGACAGATACCATTGGTCAAAACCCAATGCTGAAACCATCGTGATGACCAGATGGACTCCTTTCTGGATCTGCTACATAACTTACGACACAATTCGCATCGCGGCTTTGTGTGAACCTCTCGATCCATCCGACGAGGGTACAGTATTTGAAATACACTGTAGCATGGCCAGCCAACGGAAGGCTTCGTCGGTGTCCACCGACGCGGACGATCTTATCAACCACGACCACAATGCCGTCAACATCACGCTGATGGGCCAGAAATACCCCCCAAGACTGGACTCCCAGCGCAGCAAGTGCCTGCTGGTTTGTGCACAAAACTTTAGCCTCTTCCGGGCCAAGCACCATTGCCGAATGGTATCCTACACTTCTAGACGACATCCCGATTGACAATGGATCCTACCGCGTGGCGACGTCGTTTGCTGCGAATGTGTGGTCAACAAGACTGTGGTGTTGCCCAATGCTGGTCACTGCGACGTGACGTGCATTTTGCAAAAAGCACCATCCACGGTGCACTAAGTTTGAGCCTCCGGTTTTGGCCAGCTCGCGATCTCCTGACAGCTCCCACGGCAGCAACTCCATCGCCAAGAAAGGGCGTGCGAATGATTCACACGCCACTCCAAAGCTTCGAGTACTCGAGTTTGAGGTGATTATGAACCCCGAACAGTGGGTTCCAGGTGCCCATCGCAAGCAGTGCCTCGTGTGTAGCCGAGACTTTACCCTTTTAAATCGCAAACTCCATTGTCGAGTGTTGTACTGTACACCGGTATCGCTGTGCTGTCATGTGAGTGATTGTTTTGAACATAGTATGGGGACATCCGGTGTAAGGACTGCACAGCACTACAGTGTACCGACGGTGGGTATGACTGATGTGCGCGGCATTGGCCTATGTACCTGTACACCTCCGATATGATGTTTAAATCGAGTTGGTGTGATTGATTTCCTTCTGGTCGTGCGGGCAAACGGCCCCTAAACATGAGAGTGACAAAACGAATACCGGTAGCACATGAAGCAGAGGCCAATTCTACGAAGGGGCATCACTTTATTCACTGTGCCGTTTGGACGTTTGGGATTGACAAGTTCGTGACGCATACATTTCGCTGCAATAATATTGGCATCGTCGTCCTCAACGACTTGTCGAGGTTCAAACTGGATGCCATTGGTGGAATTATACCCAATCAAAAGCTAAGAGTCAGATTGGTCGAGTCTATCTGAGTCTCAGTATTATAGCCAATGGCATCAAGTCAGTCAACTCGACGGCGCCAACATCACGCGGCCATACAAATACAGGTGTTCGTCCGACGTGGACTTTTTTCTGGACTCTGCCGAGCGCGCTCCATCGCGACCTTCCGACGATGCCTTGATGTTATTGCCACTTTAGCTCATCTAGCCATGTACAGTACAATGGTATACGATTGCCAAATTAGCATGGCACAGGTACGCGAGGCTGCCACCGACGAGAAACATCGTAACATCGGCTGGTGCCCTGTGATTGGCTATATTCTACCGCTTACATTCCTAGGCACAGCGCAGTCAGTTTGTTTGGTGTGTGGTGGGATGAGCAACACCCCGATTAACCTCGGGGCCAAAGCCATGTCGCAGCCCAACTTGGTGCGCGGGCAGAGTGTCGAGATCAACATGCGCGCCATCGGAGATGCCACCAAGAACGGCGTGATCATGATCGAGAACTTCAAGCACCAGGACGACTGGGTGTCCAACTCGGAGCGGAGCCGGTGCCACATTTGCACCAAACCGTTTGGAGCGTTCCGTCGCAAGCACCATTGCCGCGTGGTATGTCCGTCGTCGTGGTCCCGTGGTTTCACTAGACTGACCCCATGACTACCTAGTGTGGCGAAGTCATTTGCAGCTCATGCACGTTGAAGAAACAGGTGATGCTGCCGATGGTGGGCCAAACCGAAGCCCGTGTGTGCGTCACGTGCATCTTGGTGTACTGCAAGCCGATGCAATCTCAAAGCAGCAACCACTTTGAAGGGTCTATGATGTCTCCCGCGGCGTACTCGCTTCCGTCCAATGGCAGCAGCTCGCGCGACGGCCGCGCAACCACGCGCAGCGACTTTAGCCGGCACAACAACACGCAGCTCCACTCTCCAGACGTCATGGGCAGCGACGTCGACCCGTCCACGTACTTTACCGGCCAGCTCGACGCGTCGTCGTTTGAGTACTCGTTGGACTACGACTGGGAGCACCCGTGGCCGAAACCGCCGGTCCCGGCGGACGAGTCGCACCGGCTGGACGTCCTCCGCAGCTTTGACATCCTCGGCACGCCGCAAGAAGATGTGTTCGATATTATCTGCGACCTGGTGAGCAAGTCGCTCAACTGCCCCATCGCCGGCGTGTCCTTTATCGACCACGACCGGCAGTGGTACAAGGCCAGCGTCGGGCTCATCCAGGACGAAATACCGCGCAACGTGAGCTTTTGCGCCCACATTTTGTACACCAAGCAATCGATCGTCGTCCCCGACACGACCCTGGACAAGCGCTTCGAACGGAATCCGCTCGTGACTGGGCGCGCCGGCATCCGGTTCTACGCGGCAGCCCCAATCATCTCCCCCGCCACGGGGTTTGTGCTCGGCACTGTGTTTGTATTTGATAACCATCCGCGCCCACGAGATCAAGTGGACATGGCCACGCTGGAGAAGCTGGCTGGCGTCGCCATGAAGAATCTCGAGGACCGCCGCGCGTCCGTCGCGAGCAGTAGCGCCGCCTTTGTCCACCGCGCGTCGAGCGCGACAGACAGGTTGTCCGCGGTGACCACCATGTCCCACAATCCTGACAACGTACACAGTCCCTACACGTCGGCGACGCCAACGTCCCAGATCGCGACACCACAGGCTGCCACGTCACCTAGCTACACGGAGGCACCACCCCCCCCTACTCCAACGGCAGCTGTCTCTCCTTCGGCGGTAGCAACTACTCCTGTGAGTGCTACCCCAATGGCGAGACCAAATCCCGTGGAACCAGAAGTACAACCCCCGCAAGATCTCCCTCCGACACCAACTGCATCCGCCTCTGAGACAACTGCTGCAAGCAGCTCCGTGGTGCCTTCAGAGCCGCCCAAAATGGAAGCGATGCTCATGAACCTGTTGAGCCAAACGACGATGACTCAGCAGCAATTAGCAAAACAACAAGGCACAATGTACGCCACAATATCAGGCCATAGTAGCCAAATCGACAAGTTAGCACAAGCCGTGGCAAGAATGGAAGCCAAGCTAGTCGGTGGCGCTCCGGTCGGCGCCAACACAGCTACCAGCAGCAGCACCAGTGAGCCCAAGCAGCAGCAGCCCGGTGAAAAAGAGTAGCGCGTAACGTTATGGTTAGTAGAGAACATATTTTCAGTTTCCCGCGTGCATGCACCACAGTCGATTCCATCATGTAGAAATTCAAGTGGTGCAGAATATTATGCTTACTAGTATCGTTACGTTACAGTTCTCAAGTTGCAGAAATTCAGATTATTTTGAATTATCGACTCAAATATTGACAACATGATTGGTCGAATACAGTCACACTGAACTTTCAGCCAATCAGATGCAATTTTTGACAGGTTACTGGATAAAATCAAGTGGCTCGGAACTGTTTTATATTTCCCCTCTTTTAATTCATTTTCCATCAACACTAATACGAATTTCAACATGATTTTAAGTTCTACGACCTGCATTAATTCTCTTATTTACAGAAACACTACTAGTATTATATTGTGCTTTTCACTCGTTTTGGCTATTCACACCATAAACATGGGTTTTTACATAATCCGTACCGTGATACTGTTAGGATGTCACGTTTCGTTACAAGGTGTAATTAACGTTAACGTTTATAGGGAGGTCGATTATGCAACTCCCTCGCTTTTGCACATTTGAAAAGTGCAAATCGAAGTTATATCTGCTATTCTCGGGACCAAATTGCACTATTCACTGGTCATCATGAACAACTTTTGATATTACAAATGACATACATACGCCGGAGTTCTAAGTTACCGAACAGCAATGTACGTATGGTGCCACATCGTAGAAAACCACGCCATCTTCTTGTTCCATCGAGTAGTATTGTGCACCTTTTTTGGCAATTCCAGGGTTAAATTCATTGTTTAAAAATTTCTCAGCTTAAATAACGGTTGGGTTCGTTGTTTAAAGTTCCTTCATCTAATACGATGATTGGTTGGTTGAAGGTGGTTTTACAGGCGCTTTCGAAAAACAAGTTGTTTGCCGTTTTCATTCTGGCAAACAACTTGTTTTACGTCAACAGGTCAAGGTGCTTGCCGCAATGAAATACATGACCACCCATCCGTGATCACTACAAACATTGACTACTCCGAGTAATTTATAACGTTAGGGATATAGTTAGGCTAGTCGTCGCTCTGTCCAATGATTCAAAGCTCAGCCATAACACATGATCTGTACTAAGTACTGTACGTGGAAAGCAAGGGCGCACTACTGTACAACTACACGATGTATAGTACTCCCATTTCACATCCCAATTCGGTGTGCATCGTGATGAACTGATGGTTGCACTGCGCAAGTTGGCCTGGTGCTACAACTCGACTAATGTAGTTATTAATAGCGGCTGAAATAAGTAAGGGTTGTTTTATTCTGCTGAAATGCAGAACTTGGGTTTAGCGTTATTTTATCTTCAATCGGGCTTTTATTATTTTAAACGTTATTAATTTAACGTTTAAAATAATAAAAGCCCGATTGAAGATATAAACGTTAAATTAATTACGTTTAAAATAATATAAGGCCGATTGAAGATAAAATAACGCTAAACCCAAGTTTGTTTAACGCAGTTAAACAACGGGCAAATTACATGAAAAGCACAATACATACAGATATTAATAGCATGGAGTACCACTCTGGTCCGAAATCTTAGTCCAATTGTTTTCAAACTTTCGGCATGTTCCTAAATCTTGTTGGAATAGAAAGCTGGTGAACTCGTCGTTGATTGGCTGGATTGTGGACCATATGATTCATCGTCCAATTCCACCGATCGTTTATAAAATACCAGTACTCAATTCATCCGGTGAGCAATCAATGTCGGTGTTATCGCGTACACTCAGAGTCTTACAGCACTATCCTACCTATACGGTAAGTATATCCTTGCAAATTCACTGGCGTTGTTGACACCCCCGTTGTATTTCCGCGCCTCGTTGAGCTACTGGGTGGGCGAGCGCTGCGTCCTGCTAGGATACTTCCTAACGAGACCTGTCAACACGCATCTCTCGGACATACCTTCCAATGATATATATATCTATCTACAAGTCATTCATTGAAGACGAGCCTGTATCTTACGTCTGGGCTCACATACAGAGCTCATGGCGCCACGGCGATTGCCGCGACAGCATTCACGCCTGGGGTATTAACCTCTATAATTGCATAGAATTATTACATTATAGAGTTCTATTCGGTAAAATACTGGAGTAAATATTTTAATCAAGTCAAAAAGTGAAAAGAACAATTGGACTAACAGTACGATTACGGAACAGAGTAGTAACAGCCCAAGGTGTTTTGGTCACTTCAGCATCACATGTGATTATTATTGCTCAGAGTTATTTGGCATTTATAAACCCCAGTATAAACATAGAGCTGAAAAGACCCGTTTACATATTGGGTTCGTGATGTAACAGTGTACAGGGGGCGACGGATTTTAAGGGACGCTTGCTCATCACTCCACATCCAATCCACACCGGTTGGCGGAAATAGTAGTCCTGATGGAGCAAACTCACGTAGGACGCCGCTGGCGATGGAGGTTTTGGAGCTCTCACCAATCGAGAATTTAGTGCAGCAGGGTTGGCATACATTATATTGTCTGTAAGATTTATATTCATGCTGCCGGCGTGGTCGAGGGGCATGCTTCGTTGAAGAAGTCCATTGGGACCTCAATCGCATAGAACTGTAAACGACCCAACAGATCGATGTGTTGAGAAATCTGTGTTTATGGAGTGTTTACATCATGATGTAAACTTTATTGGCAACCGGTGTGGGTCTGAAAAATGTAAATTTTGCTGATATAGTGATGTACTTCGAAGATTTTTACATTTCTACATCACCCGGTGGGGATGCGCTTTTATATTAGCTAAAACACCAGCCAGGTACAGTACTATTCAACTTTGTAACACAGCTAAGCAGAAGTACCACTCTTTTAGCCACGTAAAGCCGACGCCAAAACAAATGCAAAGCACAATACACGTAAGCTTAATACAATTTGGAGTAAAGGAACCCCTTCATCGAAGGGTCCCAAAAAGTGTCACGGAACTGCGCCCATACGTATACTTGTCCATGTGTGTGCATGCTATTCCAGCTCCGAAGCGTAGACGTAGTAAGAACCCAGGCTGTAAGTTAATACAACGCTAGAAGTAAGTTGTCTTTGCCGTTTACAACAAGGTATGTGTACAAATCCTCGTCAAATCTTGCTCGTAAATATGCGCTGTGGCGTAAGGAATTTTCTCGCTCCTTAGCTCAACTAACTACACGTAATATGATGTCGTGGCGCCTGTCCAACGCGACTTGATTAAGGGAATAGGAAGCCCGTAAATCAATCTGGTCGAAACCCATCACGATGGCGCGTCCTTTCGACGACCATGGCGTCGCGCGAAGGACGAATGAGTCGAGCCAAACGCTTGGAACTACAGTACTCCACGGCACGTTTCGTGGTGGAGGCCTATGGGACACTGTACTAGGCTACCAGTAGAACGCGAACGAAGAATGCGGTTAAGTACTTACAGTAACACACACCCATCCAGATGACCGTGAGTAGCCTCACCCGATTAGTCTGTGTTACAGTATGGTCGAAGTTGAAGGGGTCAGTGGTTCTGAATTCATTTCGTATATTTCAGGACGGTGTTGGGCAAAGTCGGAGCAAGTCGCCGACTTCAGCCACAAACGTAGCTCTCATCCACCCACACACAGCCAGCCAGACAACAGCAATCACTGCGACGACGACTATAGAAGTACGTAGATGGACGAACCAGACTTCCTTCACGCAGCCCCCGAGTGCCTCTTGCCGCCGGAAGCATGGGTGAACAAGAAGGAACGGTTCCGGTGTCATGTCTGCGCCCAAAAATTCAGCAACATCTACCGTCGCCGCCACCATTGCCGCATGGTATGTACATAACATCATCGCACAGCTCCTACGTCTGTCTGCCTTTTGCCTTTGGGCGAGCCCATCATGACATGAACGACATAGTGCGGCGAACTGTTTTGCAGGCAGTGCATAGTCAACAAATTCCTCCACATCGCCGGCCGCGATAAAGTTACCGTCAAGGTATGCACGCCTTGTGCGTACGAAGATGCGAATCAGTCCAAGCGGCGGCGGCCACACTCGCCCATGACCTTTCGGTCGTCGCGCCGCCTCGGCCTCGAGCACATGCCATGCCGGTCCGACGACCTGCACTCGGACGACGATTTCGACGACAACGACGCCGCAGCCACAAAGGACCTGCTGGATTCGCCAGTGCTCTCGTCCACCCAATGTGATGTGGTCTCGGATAGCCATAATCTCGCCACGTCATCATCGTTAACCACTCGACGGGCACCTACTTCGGCGCCAGTCCGGGACCTAGATTTCGAAGAGGCGGCGTACGCGATGACTTGTCCAGCTGCTCCGTGCCTCTTTAACGAAGTCGAGCGTCTTGGGGCCCTCAAGTCGCTGCAGATCTTGTACTCCCCGCCCGAAGAAACGTACAACGTCGTGTGTGAGTTGGCGGCCACGACCTTGGGGTGTCCCATGGCCGTCGTGAGCTTTATGGACCTGGAACGCCAATGGTTCAAAGCCAAGGTCGGGCTCTCCAAGAACTACTTTTCCCGTCGCGTGGCGTTCTGTGCCCACGCGTTGTCGACGCCCGAACCGACGGTGGTCCTCGACACGCGGGTGGACCCCCGCTTCGCCCAGAACCCGCTCGTCACCGACTACGGCGTCCGATTTTATGCGGCCGCGCCGCTCGTGACCGCGGACGGATGGCCCGTGGGCACGCTGGCCGTCTTTGACTACCACGTGCACCTGACATGCAACGTCACCACGACGCTGATCCCGCTCGCTCGGGGCATCATGAAGCAACTGGACGGACGGAAGGCCAACATCCAGGGGATGCGGCGGCGGAGATTTGCCGCGTCCTTTGACGACCGCAGCCATGCCACGTCGCTTGTGCCCAAGAAATCGCAGCTCACGCCCACGCTGGGCCCGAAAACTGCCTCTTTGAACATGGCCCCGCTCTCATTGAGCGTGCCGCTGCTCGACCACGATGCGAGCCCCACCACATCGGTGCGTTCGTCGTCGTCGTCGTCGGTCATGAAACCACAGCCCAAGATGGAAGCGATTCTGTTTGACCTGCTCAACAAAACCAGCGAAACGCAGCAGCAACTGGCGTCCCAGCAGGGCTCGATGTTTGCAACGTTGGGCCACCACTCGGAACAGATTGGCAAACTCGCCGAAGCGCTCGCCCGCATGGAATCCAAACTCGGGTCTCCTGTCGCCTCGGCCTAATCCAACGTGTGTGTACTACTTATTGACATAGACTACTGTACTTGTACTACTCGAGAGCTGTACCACCAGAGTATACAGTCAGTACGGTATGGTTTGCACAGCAATCTGCTGTACATGGTGTATTGGCAAATCGATTCAAATTACGAGTAACTCGATCGATTGTGAATCGGTAGACAATCGATTGACCAACCAAAACCCAGAACGCTTTTCCAGTGACCAATCAAAATCACCCTTCAACCCTTCAACAAATGTAACTGGTTGTGTAACGACAATTCCACTGATGCTTTCAAAAGTGCTGGTGTGTAATCCAAGCAGCGATTGTAGAAAGTTCAAACGTATTGTTGCCTCAGCGTTACAGGCTTATTGTTTGCGTGCTCATTTTAAAGTGATGCCTGCGCCTTGTGCACTGAGATCCTGATGCGACAGAGCGTGCCAGCGACTACGACACATCACAAGCGTAGGTAGGGCCAAGTGGCACGTTGTGTGTGGGGGCTTGTTCCTGATGTTCAAATTGAAGCGAACTGCAGTGTACTACCGGTAGTAGGTACAGTGTACTAACCTCGTTTGACTCCTGCTACTTCGAAATATATTGGAACGAAGTACAGTAAAAGTTAGCTTGGAGATTATGCCGTGGTGTGAACGGAGTTAGGGAGCTTTTATGATGGCAACGCATGTAACCATGCTGTCCAACTTAAGAAAGTTGTGCTGAGGCGCCATCTATCCAACTGGTAAAGCGACTTGGCATTGATTGGTTTATAATAAAATAATTAACCAATCATACCCTGATGAATTCATTTATCATCCAATGGCCTTGCGCGTGTCTTCAACATGATAGATCCAGACTGGCTACATGTCATGGGGTTCAACCTCGACGTCTCTTCAAACTCCCGGCTTGCATCCTTGTGGATTATTGAGCCATTTGCAAATAGGTTTCCATGTTTCCTTCACAGAATGCCAGCACTACCCCAAGATTTGGGCGTCATCACGGCCAACATCACGAGGAAAACAGCTCGCCCAACGACGATGAGGAAGGTTCCGACAATACTGCCGTGCAGCTACACGATATATTAGCTCCAACCCATTGGGTCGACAAGAACGAACGAGTCGCTTGCGGGGATTGTGGCCACAAATTCAACAACTTGTTTCGACGGCGTCACCACTGTCGACTGGTACGACCTTCCCTCCCATCAACGCTAGCCGGTTGAGGTACTTAACAACTCTGTAGTGTGGGGATCTCTTTTGCAAGCAATGCGTGGTGCAAAAACTGCTTCGCATTCCACGCCAGGACAAAATATTCGTCAAGGTTTGTCGACCTTGTGCCACCGAGGAAACATGCACCACGAGCTCGTCCTCCTCGGCCAAGAGCCCGCGACACCACGCCAAGGACAGTCGGGTCACATTGCGATCGACGTCCCAAAGTGTCATATCCAGGTCCTCGCCCAGTCTTGGACAGCAGCAGCCGCATCCCTTACGCGAACGACGACCCACCGACGGACAGTCGCCTGCAAGAAGCCTCCATTCCCCCCTTGGAAACGACGTGGACAGAGTGGCGGTCCTTCGCGGCTACAGCATTGACTACGATGCGACACCACACGTCCACCTGACCCAGTTGTGCGACGAAGCTGCAGATAGAATCCGATGTCCCATCGCCGCCATTGGCTTTATGGAGGCGGACACGCAGCACCTGCATGCGTCCGTGGGGCTGTACCTGAGCATGATGCCGCGAAGCATGGCGTGGATGTGCGACGCCGTGGTGGCCACGAACCGACCGCTCATCGTGCTCGACGCCATGCAAGACAGTCGGTACCGTCACTCCCCCTTGGTGCGCAACCACCACGTCCGGTTTTACGCAGCTGTGCCCGTCGCCACCTCGAACGGGTGGGTGCTTGGGACGTTGGCGGTGATGGACACGACGCCGCGGGAGTATGTCGATATCGAGCCGTTGGTGGCACTGGCCGGCTCCATCATGACGTTTCTGCGCAAAGCCAAGGCCAAGGCACGCAAGAGGCGCACGCTGTCGTTCGACAGTGCCGTGAATGCGGCGCCAGGTGGACTACGATCTCGAGAAGCAAACTCCGAGAGCATGATCATGACGCTGGTCTCCAACACTGCGCAAACACAAGTGACGTTGGCCGAGCAACAAGGCGCACTGGCGTCGGCGTTGGGCGACCACACGGACAAGATTAGTCGGCTTGTCCAAGCGATTGCGAGAATGGAATCCAAGCTGGGCCGCAACGACGTACAAGTAGACGACGACGGAACCAAACTCAACCATGTATAGCCGCCAGCCATCAATAACCATAATGCCAACGGTGCATTGCGTCAGGAATACTACCGGTACAGTTGTAGAAATGCGCAGGTTCAACTTGATGTTGCAGTGGTAAGTAGCCATCGTAGCCTCGGAGCAGTGCAACATGTGTTCAAATTGATGTGTGGCTTCGATAAATGTTCCGTTTGAAGGAAATCAAGCAACCTAACGTTAGTGCAAAGTGACAAAGTTGAAGTACAACTTTGAGTCAGTGCTGGCTTTTGAGATGCCAAAATAGTTCGGACGGTTCCACAATTGCGACAACGTCAGGCCAGAGTAAAAAGCAGGAGCACGAAAGACATAAACTTGACATAACGTTATAGCTTTAAACGACTACAAGTTGCATCAAGTGTTCAAAACAGTGGCGTCATATGGAGAATTGCTTTGCATCGTTGGACTTTACTTTTGACGAATCGGGTCAGTAAAATGCACTTCTGACAACGGCAAGCACCAAGAGACCCCCATACAATGCAAAGGCGGTGACAAATACCACAGGGCGAATTGAAAACTGTGCAAACCACACGACGAGCAAGTACAAGGGCGGAGTCAGCAACGTCGGGAGGGCTACCACAAGGCCAGCGTTGGTACTCCCCACTGAATTCATGGACACGGCCAAGTCGATCGCAAAGTGAAACGGGACTGCCATGTACAGGATCAGAGCCACTCCGACACCAACGTGAAACAGCCAACTTCGCGTGGAAGTCGATTTGTGGGCTTCGTTTTGAGTCAGGGGCACCGTGGCGTAGTACAAAGGGGCGGCATCAAGCGAACGGAGAAGAGGCTCGGACTCGTCTGCCAACGAAAGCTCCCGCGAGGCGATAGACGCCGATACCAGGGGCAACCCCACGATAGCCAACACTGAAAACGTCACGCTGGCAATCGCAAGCAAGTACAAGCCAGGCAGCTTGATCACCACGACGGAGCTCATGACGTCTGCAAACGTAGCAGCCGCGGCCGCGAGGTGGGCCAGGTCTCGGGTCGATGGCACTTGGTCGTCGCGGAGATGGCGACGAAATCGCCACTGCTCGGCTGCAAACGTCACACCCACCAAATGTCCCAGTACCGCTACGGGGAGCACGACCCAAGCCATCTTAGGGCTTCGCGTGATGGCCACGAACATGGCGACCGGCAGCACCGCCATGAACCCCCCTAGCCACGACAGACTCAACGAATTGACGACCGTCGACCACGACGTCGTAAGCCGCCACGTCACGTCGCCGATCGATTTGGTCGGTTCAAAGCATGCCGCGTACACGAGGACAACACCCCCCGCGGCTAGCCACGTCGCCAGCAGTATCAGGAAGCGCGTGTTGGCTGTGAGTGTGACCCCCCACAGCCCCACAAAGTCAAAATACACTGCCGAATCATCCGATTGAAAGGTGCCTAGATAGGGCACATCGAGCAAGGCTGTGGTGAAAGCCAAGACGTTGCTGCCCCCGTGCTGCACGTCTCGAGGAGAAATATGCGCCAGGTTGTCCTGCATAGTGTGGTAGTTCTCACGGTGCTCGTAAAACGCAATGTCGACGCCTGGGATGCCTGCACTTTGGTATGATTCGTAGTCGGTGAAGCTACCCAACGCAGCGAGAATCGACCCGCCGATGCTGTTCATGTGGGGCATGGGGGTCACCTGGCTGTACGTGGCCGCCAATGCTTCGTCCGTGGCTCGGAAGAGGATGGCCCGGCCGCCCGTGCCGCCGCCTTCGAGGTTCACGAACGCCTGCACGTGGAGGCGGGACGTGAGGTTCTGGTCCAAGAACCATTTGGAGCCACATAAGTAGTCTTCTTCGCCGTTGTTGAAGAACACGATCAGACTGTTGCGCGGCCTCGCCTTGGACGTGACCACGCTTCGCAGCACGTCCAGCGCGATGGCGACGCCGGCACCGTCGTCTGACGCGCCGAACGATCCCGCCACGGAATCGAAGTGCGCAGACAAGAGCACGGATGAGGCAAACATACCAGGGACCTTGACGACGATTTGAGACGCGTTGAAGAAGGCCGCGTACGCGTCGCAGCGCTCTTTTCGCGGCGGCGGCGACACGACGACTGTATCCTGACGACCCACGGAGATGTTGTGTAGGTCGTGCCGGGCGGTCTGAAGAACCAGTTTATGGCTTCCGTTCAACGTCTGCAAGTCCTGCAACTTGTCGTGAATGAAGTTGTACACGCGCTGGTTCGCCGCCGAGACGTCGGGATGGGTGGCGTTTGCGAGAGTTTCCAGGGTCGCGTACGCATCGGCGCCAGCAAAGTCGCCATGGAGAGAGGCTTGCGCCAAGGATAGGGCGGGGGGGAGTTGAGATCGCCATACCGAGTTGGCATATTGAACACCTACCGCCAACAGCCCCACCACGACCCATGGCAGCAGCAGCATACCTGTCGCCTTCATTAGTGTGTGTGCGAGATTGACAAATGATTGCCAAGTCTATGACCAGGTGTTGAATTTCAGGGAACTTACCCAGGTACTTCGAAGCAGCTAGCTAACTATATTGAGCGAAGATTACCGTCATAATATGTGCACTTGGATACAGATGTATTAATCGCACACCGTCGGGCTGCACTTACGTGTGCACCTCATTTCCTACTACATACCAGGTTCACACATGCAAGCAAGTGATGAAGGGTACTACAGTATATGAGCGACCAAGCGACCACGAACCTCACTGACACTGTGAACAAATTGGTATCACTTGATACTGTAATCAAGGCCTTACTTCAAGTGGATATATTGAGCGGTAATAAATAACAGTGTTGTGCTACTTCAACAGGTATCGGCACTCCTCATTGGTGCCTCGAATCAAGTGAGCCGTGTGCTTGGACATGGTCAGCAGTGCCTCCATCATCCTTTCTTCGGCGGAATCGCTCGCACTCGAATGCGAATCATCATTGTTGGCCATGGTGTGGTAGCTGTATATGCTGGTGCTACTGGTGCTGGCGGTGGATGTCGAGTTGCCGCGGGGTTTGTGCCGATGGTTGACTCCAGACGACGGTCCAGGCGGCGTTGGATGGGCAGACGACTCGATGGCCGTGTTTTGCATGACCATGGCGGCCGTGGACGCAATCTCGTCGAGTTCCTCGAGGGTTTCCATCGACAGAAGGTATCCATTGGGGCACTCCACTTCCAGTGTGCCAATGCACGCCGCCGCAAGCATGAGCGGCACGCGGACGAACGATATGTGGTCGTGGTAGGCTTCTCGAACGATCGATGGTGACGACTGCAGTGTCACGAGGCCTGCGTCGATTCGACTCAACATGGGTGGGTCATCGAGGTTATACGAAGCCACGACAGCCATGTCACGAACGCCGATCAGCTGAATGAGCCCCCTAGCGGCGCCATCGATGGCTAAGATTGCTTGCTCGAGGAGGAGGAAAAATGTCGCGTCATGCTGGAAGCGAGGGGCTAGCGCGGTCAAATCGACATGCGACGGAGGGGGGCAGGCCCGGGGGAACGTGAGCAGCAGTGCCGCGGTGGGGTTCAGGGTCGAGGCTGGAACTCGTCCTTGGAGGTGCGTGGCGGTGGCATCTGTAATGCATGCCAGACAGATCCGCTTGGCCTTGGTACGCTTCATGTCGTGCACCACTGGCGGTGATGTTTTCGTGGAGCACTTGGAGCACACGCGTTCAAAGCACAGTTTGCAAGAGTGGCTCCAGCGAAATGCATTGAATCGCTTCGAACACCCTGCGCAACAAGCACTGTTCATTCGTTGCCGTCGTGGATGCAGCGAGCGTACAGTGGCCGAAGGCACTGTGGCGGTGGAAATGCACTTTGCTGTTGAATGTATTGGCAATGTTGGGGTGTTACAGACTCCTTGTATGTTAGTAAAATCGCGCTGCGTTTTATGCGTTTTATTCAAAACCCAACGTTTTTTTCAGGACCACTCAGTATAACGTTTTTCAACCGTACTTGGAGTAATTAGTAGACAAGCGATCCAATGCTCAACTACGTACTAGTATTACACGTAATTACTGTGCGACAGAACAAGTTGGTGTACTCATACTAATAGGACTACTTACTTGCTTGCTATATTGAAACGGTGAGCGCATTTGACGTTTTTGGCGAGTGAAATGCTTGCATGAACAGTAAAGGGCATGAAAACGGCAACGTATCGTCGTCGCCTTGGATTGTTTAAACGTGTTTTCCAGAATGAACCGTTCGTAACATTAGCCCACTCATGTCGTGTGCATGATGTCTCATATAATGAGAGACGGGGGGGGGTCATCTCCACCGCATGCATTCTGTGATGCTCAAGAAGCGTTCAAATGACAAACACTTTGGGTGCCCAATGGTTGTCTGCAGCCTGTAATAAACGGCTCCTCTGTGTCTTCTTAAAAACAAATCTATCGTTAAATTGATGGGGTTACGTCCAAGTGCAACCCCCCCCCACCATCCCCCCCCCGTCACATTCATCGACAACGGTCGATTGTCCAACTCCTCATACACACTACTACTATTACTAGTAGTAGTTACTACTAACGTTACCAAAGTATTTTGAAATGGGTTATTGTTTGTATACTAACTACTACTCCAGCAGTGCTTCAGTGGCTTTTTGGTCAAGTCATTGGCTACAGTATTCCTCTGGGCCTTTCTTCTTATTAAAGTGTTTGTTTATATTGGAGCCACTCGGCTGATGACGTCGTACATTGTACGACTGCCCTACTTGAGCGCACCTGCGATATTGTGCACGAGGTCCACGACGATGGGGAAGAGCGCTGTGACACTGTCGCTGATCAGCCCCAAAAAGTACGCTTCGGCCTGCTCGTCCGTCATATCGAGGCGGAATCTCTCTTGGACTTTGGCGAGGGTCGTGAGTGGATCGTTGGCCAGTTCAGGGATGCCGGCGTCAATCATGAGATGGAGTAGGCTCATGATCATAGACGCGCTCTTTCGCAGCCTATACACCATCCATCTACTATCAATCACAACAACCATCCATTATCACAACACAATCATCCGTACCAGTTGTACGTTTGGCAGCAATACGTTTTGAACCGGTGGTAGTTGTCGCTTTTGCGGCCGCCCATGCCCTCGACCATCTCTTTGGTGAGTTTGAATGGCGGCGGGAACGGTTTCGGATCGGATCCAAACACAAACCCAAAGTCAATATGGAACAAGTGTCCTTGGGTCTTCATCATCAAGTTGTCTAAGTGTCGGTCCCCAATGCCCAAGATGTACGTGATCACGCAGTACCCCGCGAGTGACTTGACATATGTATTCACCGCGTCCACCGAGATGCCTTCCCACCCGCCGTTGGTTGGGTCGGGGTTGTGCGTTCGTAAAAAGTCCTGCACCGTCTTGTACTTGGAGATGACGTCCTTGAACGCCATCGAATCGACCACAAACTCCATCAACCCTGCCGTTGTAGAGGTTGCGAGCACGCGATACGGCGTCAGCTTCATGTCCAAATTAACCTTTTTCAGGAGTCGGTCCATGAGGATGATCAACTGCATGATCAACTGGTCCTGGCGCAGATCGTCGCCGTTCTTGATCATGACTTTGCACACTGGACCTTCCTTGTCGCGATGTTGCACCTTGCGACTGGTACCCGACGACGCATGCCCCCCCCCTCCCTGATGCATCAAGCTGTGGGCAGCCAGCGACTCGCGCAACGACGACGCTTCCGTCTCCTATATTATTCACCACATTCATATAATACCAACCTGCCAGTTTAGAGAAGTACACACATGTCATTCACATGAAGTAAAGTCGAGTGGTTTATCGAATAAATGCATTGAACCACGCTGGAGTTGTGATTGGTGGAAAATACTTGTAAGAGCCAATCAAATCCACTCAAAAAATTGGATGAACCCATAGCGATTCGTGATTCGATTATTCGGCGATACATTCGATTGGTCTGGAAATTTGGACCGAATATTCACACAATACAATCATATCCAACGACCAGGGTTTCGAAATAAACCTCATCCCGTATGCGAATCTTCAGATAGGATCATATATATATATATATATGCAGTATATATCACAGTCAAAACTCCAACACCAGTGTTGACGTATATATATGGGTCATCCACTGATAATAGGAATATTCACGGTCGTAATAAACACACAAGCCATTATTCAGACGAGAGTATGTATATATAGTTTATGCACAAATCAGACACCCCCCCTCCGTATACTACCGTCTTTGTCTTTGATATTTCTACATATTTGTATGAAATATATATATATATTGTCGATTTGATACAAATTTGGGGAGGGGGTGCAATCGAATCGCGCCGACCAAACCGATCCGCAATCGATCTGATTGGTTGAATTTCATTGAGAAGGTTTTGATTGGCTAATAATTTTGAGCTCATCTGAGGTAGCCAATCAAATCGATTTAAATTCCAACGAGAAACCACAACACAATGAAATTTCACTCGAAAGCACAATATACGAATTTATAATTAAATTCGAACAGACTTGAACAATACAACTCTTTGAACACGATTTTCCAATTATTCGACTAGTATTGACAACATGCAGTTTTTGTACAATTTCACCACATGGCGATATACTTTGAATACACAGCATTCATATTAGTATGGACTGTTTGTTAGTGTTCATTCAGAGGTTTGTGTAATTTACCTCGTCCACGTGCGGCTCGGGCAGGACAGTCGTAAAGTCGACGACACACGGGTACATGGCGCTCTTAAACATCTTGGCGGACGGCGCCACGAGCCCGCTCAGGTGCACGGACGGATCGGACGGCAGACGGATGTGCACACCTTTGGGCCACGGAATTTGCTTGAAATATGTGCGCAGTTTCTCTTCCTTTTGATCGCGGCGGCCGCGCTCTTCCCGGGCGCGAAGGTGCGACGCCATGATCCGAGTCATGTACTCGTTCTGGGTCGCGAGCATATTGTAGATGGCCAAGCCGTCCTCGGTGAGCTTCATCTCCTCCAGCATCACTTGAAGCACGTGCTGAAACATCTCGCCGTCGCGCCGGTCCGACAGCTCCACTTGAAGATACCAGTAAAAGTAGTTGGCCATCTTGAAATTTGTGCACGCCCGTGACACGAGGAACCGCGCGAGTGGCCCCAGATGCTGCTGGTTTTCGTGTTTATAGAACTTTTCGTACCGCATCGCCTGTACTAGCTGCAGCAAAAAATCGAGCAGGTCGTCGGTGCGGGCTTTGGCCAAGGCGGCGACGGCAAACTTGCGCACGACGTCGCTCTTAAACTCTTTGCGCGGCCCCAGGAGCTTGAGTGCGTCCGCAATGTCAATGTCACACCTACACATGGAATTTAGCATGAATTTGTGATACATAATGATTCTCCCAATTTGTCCAATATATTCGTAAACTCAAAATTTCATTTTTATTGGCGCGTTCCCGAGTCCAAAGAAAACCCTCAAAGTCAACAGACAAATACAATGTAGCCAATCACAGAGACAAGGGCATTTTCAAATAGACCAATGGGAGCGATGCGTGATCGGTTTGGGTGGCGTGATATCGATTGAATGCACGCCACCCATTTATACATACTCGAGTGTTTCGACTTTTATATCATCTTATCCTACGCATATATATATATGTATATTTCTTATCCTACGCATATATTTATATATATATATATATGCGTAGGATAAGATGATATAGAAATCGAAACACTCGAGCATGTATATATACATATTTATCGACAACACATCCAATTTAAACGGGTGCCAGACGGATATGTTGACGCAATCAGCAGGTAGAATACGATCATCATGTCAACATGCCAGTAGTGTACGATTTCCACGCTAGTGGAATTTATTTAAATATTCCCATATTTATTGTTGAATGGATTATTTGAGATAATATAATTATATTCACGTGTGATATATCATGGTGCAGATGCGACGAGAAATAGTACACAAAGATGCTTTTCAAACAGCGCCTATTTTTTTAATAAATTAAGCTTGCTATAATGAAGCTTACGATAAAAATATATATTCTCTTCCATATAAGAGAAGTTTGTTGTCAACAACCCACATCACGTGAATAGACACGGAACATATATATATATGTACAATGGCCTCATTGATATACAAATATACATTCAATTGCGAGTTGTCAGTGTACATGGGATAAATACACACAATATTCCCTGAAAAAATGCCAGTTTTTCTTACCACGCATGCAGCAGCTCCGTGGTGAGCGTGACCTCGGTCTCGTCGAGCCAGTCGACGCTGATCAAAAATTTGACGATCGCGCGGCGGTTCTCGATCAGCGTGTACCGGAACTTCCACAGCAGGTCCTTCTCGTCGTTCTTGAGCTGGTCGCTGGACGAACTCAGCAGCGCTTCGATCGCAAACTGCTCCTCGCGACTCGGCTTTAAGTTGGGATCGATGGACCCGCGCAGAATGTCCCGCGCGAGCTTGCGGTACTTGCGCTCGGCCGGGTTTTCTTCGTTCAGGTCGGGGTCCCACACTGGAATCAGCGTCGCGTCCATGTCCACTACCCCATTCAGTGTTTACTAAACGTTTCTAACCAACACTACACCAGTACTTTTCCATATATAACACACTGTGACAAACCAAATCGTTTCATTGTCCCAACATTATATATATATATACGATACATAGAAACGTTATATATATCTAAATGGAATATAAACATACAGACATATAATGTATTGGTATATAAATGTTAGATATACATGTATATGTAAGATCTAAATATATATATAAGGTACGCATATATATGTATAAAATATAAATATATATGTATGATATAAATATATATATAAGATATAAATATATATATATATACATATAAATTCAACGAAGAAAACGATCCCAAGAGCGTCATGCCTGTATATTTTGTAACCATATCCATAAGTCTTTGAAAATCCACCCGTGAACCACATATGTGTTGTGTACAGTAATACCCATGCTGCGCATCGTCGGCATCTTGGCCGCGGACGGCGTGGGCAGGTCCAGCACGTTGGTGTTGTTGTTGGCCGTCGACGGGGCCTTCGCATCTCCGTACGCAAAGGACGAGAACGCGGCGGCGTTGCGGAGGGCGTACGGCTCCTCTTCGTACACGACGGTTTGGCCAAAGTAGGGCAGCTCGATCCACAGGCATGGCTCGTCGCGAAGCTGGCAAAACGACGGGAGGTCGTCCTTGGGGCCGGGAAAGTCGCTGCTGCGGCGGATGCGCGAGATGCGGCGATTGGTCACGCGGTCCATCCAGTCGCTCCGCTGCATGTCGCGCCGTTCGTAGCGCTCGCGCGCCTTGTCGAGGCGGAAGCATTCCATTTGACGCGTGAGCACGTCGTTGGTCGGGTCGTTGTAGTCGGACGGCGTCGTCGTGTCCAGCTGCGGGTCGGCGGCCACGCCTGGCCACACGCGGAGACACTGCGTGCCATCCTTGAGGCACCCGTTGGGGGCGAAGATCGCGATGGTGGTGCCGCCGATGGGCACTTGGTTCACGCCCCATAACGTCAACGCAATGACGGCGTTTCGCGGCAGGTCCTTGAACTTCATCGGCAACGTAAGCCATTCGCTCCATATGATGGACGATTCTTTGCACTGGCTCGGGTACTTTGTGTTGATCGTCATGGGGTGCATTGGGATTCCGTCGGCAAAGATCTGCGCCGTCACAAACACTTCGCTCATGGGGGAGTTGCGCAACTCGGACATCGTGCCGAGCATTTGATGCAGGTTTTGCTGGGGAGCGAGTGGGGACGACGACGTCGTGCTTGAAACGTCGACCAGTTTCGCTGGCGGTAGGTCAATAGACGACAGGAAGAACATGACCTCGCAGTCAACGGCATTGCTGAGGAAGTACTTGTACTCATGAAAGGCATTGGCGCTAGTCTCTGGGGCGAACAGCCCGCCGTTCAGACCCCCAACGGCCGACACGGACGATTTCGGCGCCGCCATCTCTCCAGTTCTGCGTTCCACACTGCGGGTACAATTCGGATAAACATCCGGATAACTCCCGTGCACATTCACACGTCATCTACCTGTGCCCTTGCAGACGTAGGGTCCTTCACGTGACTGTCGTGCTATCTCGTAAGAAGATAACGAGATTCCCATGCTCACGTGTTGCCTTTAGCGTGAGTTCCAGAGGTTATGGAAGCATGTAGCTGCCTGCCTCCACGATACAATAGAATGCTATGAAACCTATCCATCCGGATAACGAGTCAAGTTGAAGCAAAAAGTATGCCGGGTAAAGGTGGCGAAGGGGTGCGAGGGGTCAAGTGGAGCAAGGCGCGCCAGGAATTCACTCCGTGGACAAAGGATGAACCGCCATCAGATGCAGAGACCCACGAAAGTGCCGCCCTTCCTGTGATTCATCCCATGCTCATGAAGAACTACATTGGAACCGTCAACGTGACGACCTTGACCACACGGCAAGTGGAGCAAGTACGTACGATCTCCTTAGGACAGCGCGCACATACATAGCTGACGAATGCGTAGTACTTCAGTCGCGACGTCTTCCTGGAGGATTGTATTGCAATCAAGTCCAACGAATCAACAGACTTTTATCCACAGCTTTGCGCTGGAATCACATGGAACACCACAGACATCGCCGCGTTGGCAGCCAATCGGCCTGCGGTCGAGCTCTTTCTCGACTGCTACCACGTATTTCTTGGCCTGCTCGCGCACACCCACTCCGCCCTTGCAGCTCAAGGTACTGTCCCCCCGAATTCCTTGATCTGATCATCCATCCATCTCCTGACGCCACCACGTGTCCATTGATATATTTCCGTGCCGACGTGCAGAGTACATCCGAGCAGGGGACATGTTCCTCTTCCTGGGCAAGTTTTCAACCGCGCGAGCGTGTGGCCAAGCGCACTTGAAGCTAGGATCTCCAGCGTCGGACGAGTCGGCCAAACGCATCGTGTTGCAAGCTAGGCAGTGCGAGACTGTCCTCCAAGCGAGTATGAAGCGAATGCAAGCAGTACTGCACGCGCCGCCCTCTGTCGTCTCGAGCCTCATGGCCGACTTGGACCAAGTGAGACGGTTGGCGCCACTGTCTCGCGAGATTCTGCATGTGCAAACTGGGGTGCTCGTCGCGTCTTGCTCGTACGAGTCACTCATTGACATGCTGACATTGCTGCCGCCGCCACTCCTCTTGGATGTGTCCGTGTGTTTGGCACTGGCCCGGGCGTTCGATTATACTGGTCACACGATCCAAGCCATGGATGCGCTTCGGAAGATGTGCAAGCAGTCACCTGTCGTCGCCAAGGAATTGCAGCGACTGCAGCACATGCTTGACAAACGAGTACCTCTGATGAGCACATGCGTCCAATAACGCTGACATTTGCAAGTGTAGAACGTCGCGACCAAGTTGGCCGATGGAGGGCACTTCGCCCAAGCTGTCGACGCGTACAACGTGTGCTTGACGTTGGATGCCAACCACCACCGATACAATGCCAACGTTTTGTACGATCGCGCAGGAGCGTTCTTAGCTTCTGGAAAGGAAAAGGAAGCGATTCGGGATTTGGAGCAGTGTCTGGGGCTGCTGCCCACGCATACTTTGGCTCCTGCAAGACTCCGCGCCGCTCGAATCCAAGCCGACACGTCTCGAGTGGTAAAAATAATGTATGTTGACGATGGCTACTATATTCACTCACTTTCATTGCCTAGCGCAATCAAATCTACCGTGAGCAGCGAGCGCACGACAAACACATCAAGTACTTGCGCATCTGTAGATGCATTTCGCACGAGTATGTGACGTGTGTCGTTTGATGTAGGAAAAGTTCGCAGTCGAGTGTCTTTTTCAAGGTTGGATCGTGTCCAAACTTGGCTGCTCGCGACCAAGTCAAGGTGATGCAACAAGACCGAGTCATTCAAAACGGAGTACAAAGTAATCAACAATTCCACCGACTGCCCCAGTTCAATCTGCCACATGTGGCTCCGCTGGTGGATTTATACACGATTCTGGGGGTGCATGCCACTGCGACCATCGACCAAATACGAAAAGCATACCATCGACTTGCCCTCCAGATGCATCCAGGTAATCTTATAGCATTGTGCAAATTGCACTTTAGCACAGAGCCATAAATTTTAACTGGACTAGACAAAAGCCAGCATGTCGATGCCGCCGACCAATTCAAAGGCATCGCCATAGCGTACTCGATTCTCAGCGACGAGACATCGAGAGCCCAATACGACGCGGTGTTTAATTCGTCGATTTATGCTTGTCAATAATAATATCGTCCTTAGTGTTACTCCTCTTCGTCGCTGGACGATGATTCGTGCTCGATCCAATGCTGCAAGTTTCCGCACATGATTTTGGCTATTCGCTCCGTCTCCGAGTCAAACAACGTCCGTGCAGGCGGCATAATGTGGGGGTCGTCACCACCGCCATCCACTCGATTCGACAGTCGAAACGCAGGCGGGAGGCGGTGGATCGTGGCTTGGGCAGCTGTCCAATGGCCATGTGAAGTAGATTTCTTGTCGTCGCTCGGTGATTCATGCGAGATCGAGGCGGTAATGGCGGCATGTGACAGCGACGAGACCGTGGACCAGTCGTGTGTCACTGGCGATGCACCGTCGGGATATTGTGGGGCGGGCCTCCTTGGAACATGCTCAACCGTGGTGGCGACTCCATCGGTTGGGGTTGAATACGCATTTGGGGGGGTCTCTTCGAAAGATGTAGCGGTACGGCGGGGTATTAGGGTGGGAGATACTACCATTGGGCAGGGGGGTTCAGGATCGATAGTTTGACTCGATGTGGACATTTGATCAACCGGACGGCTTGGCATCTCGACGACAGTAGGGGGCGATGGTAGAGGGGCATCGGGGGGGTCGACGTTGGTACCATGTGAGCCGGTGGAGGATTCGCGGAAGGCAGTGTCGTGGGGCTGGTTGGTCGCGTCGCTGGAATTCTTGTCGTGAGTGGTTCCAAAGCCTTCCCCCATCAATGAAGTTGTCGACATGTGCGACGCGGACAGGCGATCACTGCAGGAGTCGGCGACCAGTTGGGGGATCTCTGCTACTTTGAGCGCCAATTCTTCGTTCTTTCGCACCAACATTGAAATCTGGGCCTGCAGTCCTTCCATGGCATCGAGCACTTGATGAAGGACGGAGGGGTGGTCGATGGGTGACGTTGGTTCAATAGGTGCGGGCAACGTAGGTAGAAGAACACCATTTGAATCTTCCAATTCATGGATGTCCATCTTGGAACTGCCTTGGGAGCGTTGAGTGTTCTCTACGTCGGCAAGTGCAAGTTCATCACGACCGATGGGTGGTGGGCTATGAATGTTCAGCTCGTTCAAGTCCAAATCGTCGTCTGTGTCATCAACCGATGCGGCATCGAAGCTCCCACGCGATGAATGATGGGACTCGAGCGTCCCCACGACACCTTTTGGAGGAGGTGACGCGGCTGTTGGGAATGATTCAATCTTGGGCTCCGAAGCATTGGGAGATGACGGTGCAGCAGCATCATGTTGTTGTTGCATGGGCTCGCTTGGATTAGGATGTGAATCGACTGCCGTGGTGGTAGTGGCGGCGGCTCGCTCAATAATGGCAGTCCATGGCTCGTCATGTCCTTCGCCACAACTGATGTCGTCGTCCGAGTATTGCGTCGTTAGCCGTTGGGGCGTTTGACCTGCTTCGCCAGAGTCTGACTGGTCCGACCCGTGGATCTCCAATGCATTCATATCGAGAAGTTCGTCATCGTTCCAAGCACTTAGTTGGCCAAAGTGTCGTGTCGGATCGTCGAGGTCCACGTGGTGTGACACCATGGAAGTGTCGTCGTGCCCGTCGTTGCCTTCGAGAATTAGACTCGGGACCAAACACACGTCGTCGCTCGTTGAGGTCGAGCACTGGTGGTCCCTTGACACCGTTTGGTCAAATTCCGCCGTCGAACAACTGCTCATGGTGCAGGATCGCCCGTTAGCCGATATCTCGCGGACTGCTGCTTCGGACGCAGCTGCTTGGTTCAAGCGATCGTGGTGGGTTCGCGACATGTCCATCGCAGTGACACTGTTGACCATCAACTGCAACGCATTTGTAAGTGCCTCGTCTCCCCCTTCATGGTCAATCGGGGCTCCAACTCGAGGACGATCGAAAGCTATGCCTGCCTCTGGACGAGGGCCTCGTACCATATTGAACCGCACTTTTAGTTGGCCCTACGTATCGTCAGTCCCGTTCGTAATACATCGTAGGTCAGTCATACCTTGGATCTGTCGGTGGCGTCTGTGATGTGGTACCAGCCGCATATTTCATGTGTCCATTGCAACAGCGTCAAGTCGATCGTTGCTTGGCCGATCCACAGGGGAGGCAGCAAGGGCTTTCTTTGATCCCACACGTGCATGGCGACTTTGGAACTGGGCCGGTCGGCAGCCTCCAGTCGGATTTCATGCATCCAAGTGGGATTGCACGAAGCCTCGACCGCAGGGGTTTCCTAGAGCACCCCGTAAATCCATCTTCCTGCTTTGAGTGAATATCGTACGTACGTAGTGTGTCGTTCCCCATTGAAACGAAGTATAAGTGTGAGGTCGCGCGGATACTTCATGATGCAAGTTCCTTGCTTCTTCAATCACAACGATCATCTATAGCCCATCGCGTCAAACAGATCATAATCCCAGCATTGCACCACCTACCAAAGGTTGTTCATGTCCACGAGCGTGGTTTGTATCCTCCGTGTCCATGGGGGCCACCACGTCGTCGTCATGGGTGACGTTCTCGTCCAAGAGAAAGTCAATGTCGTGGATGGAACGACTTGGATCTTGGTCTGAAAAGCACTTCAGTGGCGGGTCAATTGTTGGTTGTCGAAGGATAGACATGGCGCCAGGGGGGTCGGATTCGACGCGACGATGAAGGAAATGTACTGCAACGCCCAGTCGACCACAGTGCACTTCGTCTATAATACACGTTTACATCCATAAGAACCTCCTAGATACATATATGACAAGCTCACCGACCTCGTTGATCAAATGCAAACGCGCCACGTATGCCTTGGCGGCGGTAGAGCAACGCCGCCAGCGGAATCGACACTGTGCCCATCAGAATCTCCATGTCCATCACGTGCCGGTACAAGTGAACGACCGCGCCTCCATCCTTGGCTTGCTCTTGCATGGCCTCCAACAGCTCGGGGTGGATCACCACATGATGCTCAAACTCAACGTGCACTTTGCCACACGTCAAGAGGATCGTAGGGGACGTTTGGATCGAAAGGAACTGACCCTGCGCCGTGTCGTACTCTGTGGATCCCGTCGCTTTCGGATGCACACGGACACCCACAGGCACGACGCATCTGAAAAACACGTGCCACCCCACGACGGACACCGCGCCGAGCATGTCTATGGACGTAATCTGCACACAGATGGTAGCTGTGGCTGGGAGAAGGGTGGTGGACGAGACGACGGACGTAGCGACGGAGTTCGATGTCTTGGGATTATACACAGCTAGCGACGATTTCTGGTGTATGGCACACTGGACACGAAGGGGTAGCGACGCGATCTTGTCCGAGAAGTGGGGGAGAAGAGGATGCAGCGGCGGTTCGGTCCATGTGATTGGAAGCTGCACAACTTCCTGCTTCGATTTTGTCAACGTGGACACGTTCAACGAGGCATGGCCGATGGGATTGGTACTCTGACCAGACCCCCACAATGCAAACTCAATCAAAAGGTCGAGTCCTTCGTCGATGTACTCGTGTTCGTTCAGAGAGCTCAGCGCTGTGCTATGACTGTCCCACCACAGCGACGACGTGGTGTCTTGAAAGAGGTACGTGACTTCAATCCCACGAAGGACTGGACAAGGCTCGGCGAGTTCCAACACCAATCGCCACGACAGTTTGTCACCAGTTGGTGTGTTTTGGTGATGCGGATCGGCCAAGGGGGACGGTAGGACGTCGCGCCCTTTGCTTGGTGATGCTTGTTCCAACCGTGGCGGCGCTGGGTCGTTCAAGAGCTGAATCGTATCCAAATCAATGTCAAATGACGGCGTGTCCTCGGTGGACATGTGGTTTTCTTCGTCGGTAGTCCAATCCAAGAACGCGTGAGCCATGGTCGCCATATCCCTCCACCTTCGATACGCTCGTTGGATCTTGATCACGGCGGACACGTGCTGCTGTACTGTCTTCCCGTCCTCGTGTTCATCTGATGGTTGCATGACGTTGGAATTGTCGATGGTGCTGGCTGGACGTGCCAATTCAAATTTATGGTTCGAGTCGTCGTCGGGGAAGGAGGAGGGGGAAGGATCATGTGTTGCCACAGTAACTGAATCAGGTGCAGGAAGGGTCGCTTGCGGAGAAGGGGTCAGTTGGGAACGATGTCGTCGAAACACATGGCGGCCGCGCCACCACGCTTGAATTGAATGGACGGCAGCTAGTTCTGTTTGGAACCCATGGATCTAGCAAGGACAAGTAAACTATGCATTGGTACAATATTAAAAACGTAATCACGAGAACGTGGGGCATGGGTGTACGTCGTACCTGGTCTCGGGTACCCAACGCTCGCGTGCACGTTATGGAGCCAACTGCAGCCCCCGTGAATGGGTTTTTGATTTTGATACAGTCATGTGTCATGCCAATGCATGGGCTGCGTTGAAGTGTCCGACGGTCAACACCTGCCGCCTTGTTCCTACAATAAAGTCATGAATCTACAATCATACATACTACACACGCTGGACGGTGTCGTACTTGACAGCATGCGCAAATGCTTTCAACGAGAGTTTGCCCAAGCCCAGCAATTGCGCATCCCTTGCACTTGTCGTGGTCCAAACTTCTACCACCTACTCCATGTTATAGTAACGAAATCGGGTCATGATGATCGACTCGTACGAGTTGGTGGGCGTCGAATAAATGGATCAGTGCCTGGTTCAATACACCGCAAGGCAGAACTGTTTTGTAGCCCAAGGCGATCGTCGTGGGCAACGATGCATGGGGTATTCGTTTCGACTCGCTCGTGAACGGCGTGCAGGGAGGAACTAACGCTTTGTGGGTCACGTATACGCGCATAGGATCTTGTTGCTGGGCATCGGAGGAGGAGGCTTGTACACGAATATCATGCAACCAATCGACACGCAAGAGCATTTCAAGTGGGGTGGCAGTGTCGTTTGCATGCGGGGCCACAAGTGGGGGGTTAGGAAGGCGTCGATGTCCAGCGGTGGGAAGCTCCCGCGTGTACACTGGAGACATGTTCATCGTCTGTACTGGCCATGACGTTACTGTACGATCCAAATCAACTGGTCCAAAGCTTTTCGCCGACGCCAAGATGGTGGGAATGTCGATGGCCCGGTCGTGGGGTTCGTCCATCGCACGTTGCATGGCTCGTCGAAGGGCCTCGCCTTTGTGCAACAGCGACGTGACATCACTTGCATGTGGACCAAGTGATGTGTTCCATGTCGTCGAGGGGGTCGACTCATTCAACTCGAGAAGGGGCACCTGTGCGAGAAAACTGCTTTGCGGAAAGTCCTTGTTCTTCCACACCCGGACGGCACCTTCCACTCGTCTTGGGGACGCATGAGGCTGCTGCAGTTGAAATTGAGGCGCAGTCGTCATGCCGTCATGCGGTGGTAGCTCGGAACTCGCATCACCACCCCATAGCAAGGTCGCGTGCAATGACAGCACACCTCCAATGTTGTTGCGGCCTCCTCGCTTCACGATTTCAATATCTCTTTGACATCCTCCAACTGCTTCCAAGTCGTCCAATCGTATCGGGATGGCAGACTGTCCATACACGCGATGGGTGACTTTGTCCACGACATCAAACCGAAGCTGGGTCATGTCGTCAAGGTACCGTCGAAACACGTCCCGGGCGACATGGACTGGAAAGCAAAGTTGTTGGTTTTCACGCAGCAGGTCGCCTTTCCCTACGGTTGTCATCGATCCCCACCATCGCACTCGGACGAGCCATTCGCGATGCCCTTCAACGTCGTCATTCTCGACGTGCAAATGAACCGTCAAACGAACGTATCCAGACACAGGTCCATCAATCTGAGGCGGAAGTGAACCCAACGAAATGACGGACGGTATGTGTGGAAGGGGCAACGTGTCGTCGTCGTCATCGGCGGCGACGTCCGCGCCTGTCGCGGCCATGGAGTTACAATGCGCGCTTCCACGTTTGGAATTTCAATTCTATCCGTATGGCATGCCTTTTTATCCGGATGTTCCCCGCGTTTTTTTGAGCGTGTGGTTGTTTTCAAACGCGTTTCGAACAGATATCGGCGACGGCGGCTACGATGGATGCAAAGTACGTGCCCGCGTACCTGCGGGATTACATGTACCATGCGCAAGATGACTTTTGGATATCGAGTTGCTTTGACCCGATCTTCATTGCGCACATCATGCACAACGGTTTCCTTCCCATTGCCACGGAATCGCAAGGGGTCGTGTACCTGTTGCCCAAGTTGCACGAGCAGCGATGCGTGATTGACCCCCAAGACTTGCACGTTCCAAAGCAGATTCGAAAGAAGGCCAATGCGTATCGCTTGACCGTGAACCAAGCGTTCGACCAAGTTGTGCAGGGATGCCACGACCAGCACGGCGTGGCTTGGTTGTACCCTCCCGTGGTGTCGTCCTTTCGCCAGCTAGTCGACGGAGTGTCCGTCAACGGGACCGACGTCAAGCTGTACAGCATTGAGCTGTGGAAGGGTACCACGTTGGTGGCCGGCGAACTCGGGTATTGCAACGGCGCTATGTTCACAAGTCTCACAGGGTTCTACGCGACCGGGTCAAAAGGCGCGGGGACAATGCAGCTGTACGCGCTCGGTGCGCTGCTCCACGCCTCTGGCTTTCAACTTTGGGACTTGGGCATGTCCATTGACTACAAGCTTAAATTGGGCGCCAAGGACATTCCACGCGACGAGTTTGTCAAGCACGTGCACGCGTTGCGTTCGGCTCGGGTGTCACTGATTGTCGACGAGCAAAATGCAAGAGCTATTTTAGATCGCCATGCCGCATTAAGCTAAACAATTGCATGAACAGGTTGACTGTGAAATACACTGTCCATGAGATTCAGAGCTGAAGTCGACATGATCTTACCTGTCCATGATTCTACAACCCATCGTGTTCTTACTGTACCAGTACTGTACTTATAACGTTACGTATATAACACTGTTTACAACAGTACTGTACTACCGCAAGTAAGACTGACGTTCATGATGAGGTAGGTATGTACGAGAGATGACAATTCGGAGTGATAAGCCAGCCAGCTATAACGTGGCATGATATGCGAGTGTCGCGACGTTGCTGCCGCCTTTCCAAGTGGAAGCGGCGCCTTTAACTCGAGACGAGGCAATAATACCAGTACAGTGTGGCCGTAACGTTATAATAATGTTATTTTGCACATTGCTGAATGCACTACAGAAACCTTAGTAAGATCAGGCAATTATAACGTTAGGCAATTATAACGTTTACGTTACCGTCACTCTCGGAGCGAAACATTATCGGTGCTTTTCCGGATATTGTCGCAGCTATCCCGTTTTTGTTATCCGGATAGTCGTGACAAATAAGCGCATTTGGTGAGCCCAGAAAGTGCGAGACCACTGACCACTGTGCTGCGCCGTGATCTCTACCACATCAGTGAGATCATGCAGCAGGTCCAGCAACCGCATGCACGGAAAGTGCCGAGTGTCATTTACGATCGAAGCACCACGTCGTCCGAGAGGAGGGAGATCACCCATGCCACCCTCGGCCGGTTGGTCGCAAAGTTGACAGACGCACAACACCACGACACGGACTTCCGCAACTGCTTCTTGCTGACGTATCGCAGTCACAGCTCTGTGAACGACTTCATCATGAAGTTGACGAAGCGGTACACTGCTGCTTCCAGCTTGGCGAACCCACGATACGACGACTGCGACCCATCCAACGCGGACGACAATCGCTTCTCCGTGTCGTCCGACTCGACTGTTCAAGCCGCGGCAAATGTGTCCATGATGCGGGCCATGAGTGTGCTCAAGTTTTGGATTCGTGAAAGCGGCTTCATCGAAGCTGACTTGGACAACGACCGTCGATCGCAGGTACATGCGTTCAAGCATCTCCCGTCACGTTTCTAGGCCCAACAGTGACTCAAAAAACGAGGTAGAAAAAGCTCATGATCTTCCTGGCCAAAGTTCGTGATGAATCGCCCCACGTGTCCATTTCCAAGCATGCAGAAACCATGATGGTACGCGTCGTGCCCACAAACTGGCGCTTTGTTTCAATGGAACGGCTAGCATGTTGTAGGGAAGATCCTCGTTCGAAACACCCCTTCCAGATTGGCCACAAAAGCGACCACTGCAGCTCCATCATCAACCATGCCATCACCCCTGGATCTAGGAAGCGAGTCTGCCGAAGAGTCGTCCCCAAAGGCGGCGGCCCGCCAGCCCCATCCCATCGACGACAACGACGCAGCGTTGGCGGCCAACACTGCCGCGAAACTCAAAATCAACCGCAGCGTCTCCACAGATTCAGTACCCATGAAACCTCAAGTGACCATCCGGGCGTATCCGACCCACTATGATCCGGATCTCCACCCCATCGACATCGATACGACTCGGCCGGCGTTTTCGGCGCCCCCGCTGTCGATTTCCAGGGGCAAAACGATGCCGCCAGTCTCCACCACCGCCCAACTGTCGGCCGCCCCCGTCGATGGCCTCATGCAGGCGCCGCTGACTCGCTCCGTATCTGACAACACTCGCGATCGCGGTAGGGTCTTGCTTGTCGCGAAATATTCTGTCGCAGATGACTGATGTATCGAACGACGTAGGCGTGTTCTGCATGCCTCGATCAGAACCTTTCGGCGGCATGACGGCCCAAGATGCCGCCGACCAACTCACGTTGTTAGAACAGCACAACTTCCACAGAATCGACCACCGCGAACTCACCAACAAGAACTGGACCACCGAGTTCAAACACGACGTCGCTCCCAACGTGATGGCGTTGATCGAACTGTTTGACGCGGTACGACGACATAGATATATTATCTTTCCTTTATATTTGGACGTTTGTGCTGAATCGCCAAATCTATCGATCGATATCTTCTTTGTACTGAATTAGTGTCCTGTAATGATTGGTATCACACTAATTGAATTCATACACTAATTCGACGTTGTTGATGATGGTTTCCTGCGATCTGATTGGGTATATCCTTCTGCCGATGATTCTTCTGCACATCAATGTGTCGATTCATTCTCCATCCCGCTCCAGTTTAGAATAAACTCAACAATATATCATCACGACATGATATTATTGATTGGGGGGTACAAAAGTCTGAACCTGGTTCAATCGAATCACGCCGACTAACTGTAAACCGAGCACGAGAAATCTCTCCCATTGGTCTTTCAATCGGAAATTCCTTGTCGCTGATTGGCTACATCCTTTTTTCCTTTTTATGACGGGAACGCCAATGAAATGTCGGGCCACGAGTGGGATTTTACCACTCTCTCTCGCCCAATCGGGATATTTGTAGCCACTTTATACTATTAATATGTATATTGTTCAACGTGTCACCCTGAATCATTAGCGCGCGGAATGGATCTCAAGTGAAATCTTGCACCCCAAGCTGCAGGCGGTGCAGCGGGCCAACATGGTCGCGTTCTTTATCGACGTGGCCGAAGCGTGTTATCGGCTGAACAACTTCAACACCCACGCCGAAATCGTCGTCGCGTTGACCGCGCCGTGCATCAAACAGCTCGAGACGACGTGGAACCTCGTGGCGCCAGGCCACTTGGAAACATTTGAACACCTCAAGCACGTATGTTCAAGCGACGACAACTTTCGACTTTACCGGCAGGTATGACTGGCAAGAATAATGAAATAGGATGCTCGAAATGATTTTTTGATGGTGTAGGCATTTGCAGCGGCGGAGGGGTTGCCGCGGTTGCCGTCTATTTTTATTGTGGTCAAGGACATTTTTGGCTTTGAAGAGTCGATGCGGACGACGGAAAATGGATTGATTCATTTTCAAAAGTTCCGAAAGGTGCATATATATATATATATATATATACTAGGTGCTGTCGTCATACCAGTGTCGCTCGATATATACTGTACTATATATATCATATATTTTGGGAGCGTAGATTTATCATGCCATCACGGACGCCCTGAGTTGCCAACACACCACGTACACAACGCCAAGTCCAAGGCGTCGTGTGCTTCAAGCGGACAAGAACCAACAGATGATGCTGAAATTCCGACTGGAGACGTAAGACTCACTCCTCAGCCATCATCATAGACATGCATGGACTGATACGTTGCTTAGGATTCGCAAAACGGGCACGGAATTGTTTTGGCTTGCGAAAAAAGCAAACAAGCAAGAAAGCGTGCTGTTTGTAAATAGTTTGGCCGACGCTGGGTTCATGTAGCCAAAAGACCGTTTTTTTACCGCACCTTTTGTGTGGACCATGCAATAAATACTGTCAAATCCGTTCCAATTTGGACGTCCTAGTAATACAATTAGGTTGCGTCTGGTAACCAGAAATATCCCAAAACGCCATTTTGGGGCCGAATTCAACAAATCTGATCTGCGTCTGGTAACCGGAAATATTACAATATTCAGGCTCAAAACGCCATTTTGGGGCCATATTCACATTACAACATGGACCTTTTACCTCCATTGTGAAAATGGCATTTTCGTTAATTCCATTTTTCGAGAAAATGGAATATTATTTTTGAAATGTTACCAAACGCACCCTTAGAATCGAATGAAATAGGCAAATGTAATTTAGAATGGCCTAGCCAATTAATTTATGCATTTGAGAAATTTGAACCAATCATCGATCATTATAGTTTGCAAAAGTACGTTATGTGGTACTTCTAGTAGTATATCTTTAAATATGTATACCATACTGTACATTAATTTTGCCACTAATCTGACACAAATCGACACCTAATACGTCCATATTTCAGCGAATTATTGTACCACAGCATCAAAGGTCCGACCGTGAGTGGTCATATAGCGGTCATATATATATAGATAACACCTAGTATACTTAAATCAAGATATAAATAATGGGGTAGAATGGCATGGCAAATACTACTGCAAATACCTCGAAGTTTACCGAGCCGTTTACTGTTTACACCATAATGATAAGCTACGCATGCCGTATCTAGTGTACTACTGTAGTCTTACTGTTAACAAAATACACTTCATATCCCAAGAGTAACCAGCTTGCAAGTATTCTTGGTCTCAGTTCGGTCGGACCTTGTTGAGTTATGTGAATATTATCGAAGTCACTTGATTTTTGTATTGGCATAATACATACTAGTAACTGAAAAAAGGTCCGACTGAAATCGCATAGCGTTTCTATTTTATTAGTAACGTTATGCGATTACTTATAGACATCAATTCCGTGTACTTCCCTAACCCTAACCTAACCGTATCGATTTAATTGGGTGAATTTTAAATAATCCTTTACGAAACTATTTACAAAACACACTGATTTTTGTACCACAACTTCCAAAACTTACACAAATGAATTTCTGCTGGCCTCGACATAAAAAAGAATCAAATAAAAATATATGTTTGAACTCTCATAATTTGTTGAGGCTGTTTTTTGGTCTCAACAAATCGTGGTGTTTGTGTTGCACATCACACAAAATTACTTCGATACTACGTAGCACTACGTACCGTAGTTGATTTGTTAAGTGGGAACTTTTAGTCTCCATAATCAAATATTTCTGATTATCGGAATGTGCAGGTGCCCGAGAGACTTGAATTGCCTGTTATACTTAATAAATATTATGTATGGCAGAACTGTTTGATCAACGAATAATTCCCTCATACCATGATGTCCACCATAGCCAAATGAGTATAAGGGTACGTCTGGTAACAGTACAAAAATAATATGCCATTTTCTCGCAAAATGGGATTAACGAAAATGCCATTTTCAAAATGGAGGTAAAAGGTTCATTTTGTAATGTGGCGTTTTGGACCTCTTCAACGAGTAAATCCCACGTGGAATTATTGGATTTGGGTTAAACCTCTGCAAGCAAGACATGTTTCCATTTTGATCAGATTTGTTGAATTCGGTCCCAAAATGGCGTTTTGGGCCTGAATATTGCAATATTTCCGGTTACCAGACGAACCTTAAGCACAAAACAATTATTAGTAATCGGGGTTAACTGTAAGTACATCTAGTGAATAAGATTGCTCATCACTGAGATGTAACTTAACCACCCGAGAGGTTAACCCGGGAATAACGTTAGCATTGTGCTTCGTACTCCGGAGTATGAACACACTAAGTACTGGTTTATTTGAAAGAGTAACACTACCGTTTCAATCAGGGAATTACTCGGTAACTAGCTGACGAAATGACCTGTGAAAGTTTTTGACATTTGAAGTGGGACCGAACTTGAACGTTTCAGTAGAATTCCATTTATATAACATGAAGTTTGTACGCATTAACCATCTCTGTAAGAAGTGTTTCACTGCTAAACAGAATGCCATTTATTTAGCGCATTTGAGCCTATGTATGGTATGTCTTGACTTCTAAATTGCATTACTTTTGTAATACTATATTTGCCATTTATTTTAAATATCCAAAAAAAGAGGTAATTTGTTGAATCCATCAATTGACATGTCGCAGAAGTTCCCACTTACAGTCCACGAGACCATCGAGGACCTGTAACGAATGTTTTCATGTTCCACCCAATCTCCCTCGATCAAAATACATGCATCTATGCAGTTTTTTATGCAGAATACGCCTGCATGGTTAATTCTTCGTGAAACTTGATAGCCTTCCAGATTGCATTGTAAAACAAATTATTTGTAGTCGAAATGGACGTGATAAACTTTATATCCTTTCAATAGATATTTGTCTCAGAGTTTTGGATATTTTATGTGCGATAGATCCTCCAATCGTAAACATCGTCCGGATAGTGAATCGCTTCCAGGTGTGCATTGCACGCCACCAATTTCATTTGCACATTGCAATGCCCCGTGACACCAGCATCACAGAAGGTGAATACGATGGAATACTGTCGTACATTAGGAGTGAGCGACCACGAGCGCTGACAAAAGAGGAACGCCTGGACATCCTGCGCCTGCATGCACAGTTCAGGCACTTGAAGATAGATTCAGTGAATGAACACATAGCAATGCTACTTGGGCGCAGTGAAAAAACTGTACGACTGGTATGGCAACAGTATAGAGATTGAAAGTCACTTGTAGTCAAACAAGTACCAGCTAACCATACCATACATTCATCGCGAGTTCCAAAGACAAAAGCAGTGCTGCGTCTAATTGTAGAATTTGTCCGTGAGCGACGTCGAACTCGAACCCGAGTTGTTGCAAAAGATGTTATGACGGTTTTAGCACAACATGGTCATGTTGTTTTTGACGAAACCGACGAAAAAGATAAAATGGCATGTCACCGATCTGTTTAAGACTACCTATCAAATCAAGGATTGAAACGGGGACACAAAAAAGGTCAGGTCAAATATGGTCTGACTAATGAAGTTGTTGTTGCTCGAGATAAATACATCAAATTCATGTCTGGTACGATTGAACGAACACCTCATCGACCTGTTATTTACATGGATGAATCCTATATTCACCATAAGTATGCGCGGCACAATGACAGCTTGTACTTCCCGGACGATAAGCTCGATAACGCACCAAAAACCCAAGCACAAGGGGCAGCGACTGTGCATTATCGCCGGAGTTTTGGACGAAGGAGCCGACGGGTCCAAGCTACTTACGACGCGGGTCTTTCGCGGCGGCCGACGCCAGCCCAAGGACTATCACTCAATGTTTGACCACGACTATTTCGTCGATTGGATCAAGCAGCTCATGGACGAGTTGGACTTACTCGGCAAGACAGGTGCTGTCATTGTGATGGACAATGCGTCGTACCACAATGGGCTACCGCTTGCAACCCCGAAAGGCACCTGCAAGAAGCTGGACCTACTGGAAGCTTGTCAGCGTGTTGGGGTCGACGCTACGCCAGATGAATACAGAACGGTCATATGGGCGAAGCTGCAAGCGTACATCAAGCATAATGTCATACCCGAAGTCGTTACGCTTGCTCGCTCCCGTGGATATGAGGTTGTCTACACGCCACCCTACCATTCAGATCTCCAACCAATCGAGTACATTTGGGCTTACGTGAAGGGGATCGTCGACCGGCAATATACCACGGAGATTACGATGGAGCATGTCCGGTGGCTTTTGGACATTGCGTAGGGGGCGTACCAAGTGACGTGATCCATCGATGCATCAGTCATACGAAGAAGAAAGTGTCTGAACTGAGTGCATACCTTGTCGAGCTGGATGCTGCCGATGAAGCTGCGAATGAACCCGCGCTGCCTGGAGTAGACGAGTCAAGTGTCGATGAAGACAGTGACGACGACCAGAGCATTCTTACGGATATCGTTGTCTAATAACCTGCTTCCGAATAATACTTGTATGAATTGATTTTGAATGCACTGGAAGTGCGTAAAGGTTTTTTGTCCTTCAACTCCCCCTGAAAATTGATATAAATTCGTAAGCGGTCCTCGATGGTCTCGTGGACTGTGAAGAAATCAACTACTACCGTAGTTGATACAAATATTAAGCAGTAAACCAACGATTTGGACATCATGTTCCCACCAACGTTCGTGGACGTCGCATTTCCACTTCAAAAGAGCTCATGTTGAAAGCATGCAAAGGGCTCGGTAAGAGTTGGTGAGCGGCGTGGATTGATCTCTTGCTCGACCATGTCCAAGAGATACTGCCTCTTGGAAGTGTAAAAGTGCAGTAGCATCGCTAGTACCGCGTGCTTCTTTGGTATGCGATGAGGGTGACCACTCTTACCAGGTCGTGAGAGCACAACATATTGTTGCTTACAGTAATGGACGATGTGATCAAACGCATTAGGTGTTACCCACACAGTCGCTACAAATGACTGAGAAACTCGGGCCTTGTAGATGGTATACCATTGACTCATCTCCTGGGATTCGATGAGTGCAACTGACTTGATGTAGTTTCGCTCTTTCAACGGTCGTAGAGCATACATGATTCGACGCTGGCGCTGCCGTCGCGAGACCACAAGCACCAAAGCGAGCTTCATTATATATGTATGATACAAGATGAAGCATTTTGGTGCTTGATGCCATTCAATTTTATCCAATGAAACTTTGCTTCAATTTAATTTTACCCAATAGAATTAGGGAAAGTTTTCTATTTGCGCGGGTTTTGGTGGCTGTATCGCGTGACATGACGAAGCAAATTTGACCACAATAATACACATCCTATCCGGACAAATATAGTTGTGTCGGCGATTTGTGTAGGTTTTGGAAGGCCTGCACTGGTGCGAGAAATTTGTGCACATATTCTTTAGCCATCCAGGAAATTGAAACACGGCACAACTGCATGGGGCTGCAGTACCTATCAGTACTGCAGTTTGTCTAATAACTTATACGTGCTTGAGCCAGCACGTACCAGGTGTAATGAGGGCCGACAAGAACACAGGCTTGCATATGCAACTTCGTCGAAAACCCACTTGCACAGGACGTCCGGCCAAATTCGACGATGTTTATCGTGTACGAATAATGCTGGTTTGACGATTTTTATTGTACCAGGTGTGACAATGACTGCCCACACCTGGTACAATAAACATCGTCAAACCAGCATTATTCACTTTAACTGCGGGTGATATACCGATATGCCCAAGTCCCCACTCTAATTGGTACTGTGAAAAGGTTTTTTTTTGCTGTTACTGGTCGAACTTAGCCGATAAAATGTCGACCGCGTTCAGACTCCGTCGAGTTGACATGCAACACCAGCAGCAATATGTGACATTGAACCACTGGGGCCATAGCGAGACAAAATACGACGTGCTGGTCCAAAGCATTTAGCTTGCCATGTAGCTAATAGATCACGGCAAGCCATGGGTAGTGTGCTTAGGTTGTAAATAGAAACAAACGCTGGAAATGATGTTGAGCTTGTGGCTGCACTACATCACTCATACAACGAACTCGATAGAAGTACCTGCTTTGCTGTGTAGTTGCGCAACACGGCAAGCCAAGCTTCTGTCTTTTGTATGTTGAGTAAGGCAATGAATAGCAGGATACACGGTTTGAGCATGGGACTACACTCAGCCACTGATGGGCATTCAATGACTTCCGTGCCTGGGCTCAACTTCACATTATGCATGCAATACTACTTACACCAATTCCGATGATTCTTTAACTACAGTGGTGGGGGAATCGTTAGCGCATGGGCATTTTTTGGCCTTTGAGTGAACAATTGTAGGCCTTGAACCTTGGCAAGTTGTCAATGCCTCTGAAATGCCATTCGGAATGATGCATGATATGGTAAACGGAATGAAGCGATATCATTGTTTCTGTAACCGCACAAACGTGATATTTCATGTGGAGGTTAGAATAGCACATAAGCCAAAAACATCAAGTTATGCAATGCAAAATGCATCGAATGATCGCCTAGTACTTTGTCATGCTTCCGTTCATCGCAACGACACTTGTACAACGGCGTGGCATCGACTCAACGAGGTTTTGGATCGTTACGGGGTCGATATTCGCCCAGGCTTGGTTGATCGCAGTTTGAGGGCTTTGACATCGAGGTATTGCTTTCCATCCTTGTAAACCTCGTGCACAACGATACTCCAAAGGTTTTCGATTGGATTGAACTCGGGGGAGAGCACTCGGTGAGCAAAAACAGTCACCTTTTTCTCCTTCAAGAACTCCGTGGTTTCTTGCTGAAACAGGATATCGACGTTGTAGGCATCATGAGCGAAAGGGAACAGGTAGTCTTGGAGCGTCCAGATGTACTTGTCCGCGTTGTGGTTGCCCTCGAAAAACGCTAGCTCGCTCAAGCCAGCAGACGAAAAAGCCCCCCAACCATCACACTTTTGCCACCGAACTTTCGTGACAAGTAGGTCTCGTGCTCGTGGCGACGGTCGCACCAGAAGTATTGGAGGCCGTCGGGTCCATCCAGGTTGAACATTATTTCGTCCGACCAGATAACCCTGGTCCAAGCGGGGGGGTTGTGGAGATGCCCCAAGGCAAAATTGAGCCACACATGCTTATGCTCCTCGGTGAGGGAAGGTGTGGCATTGCGTTTCACGTAGTTGAAGATCTTGTTGAAGGAGAGTTTCTCGCGTACGGAGCGAGCCGATATCGGCAGTTCAAGCGTCGAAACGATCTTGGTCGACGACATTCCGGACTTGGTAGTCTCACGAAACAAGCGGTGAAGGTCGTACTCGTATAGTTTTTAGGGGCGCCCCCCTTGAAACGCTTCCCATATTTGGCAAGGTAGCTGGAAATCGCCTTGCAGGACTTGCCAAGGCTCTTGGACATGAACATGACGGATTTTCCGTCCGCCTTCCACACGGCAATTTGCCCGCGCTGGTACTCATCTAGTTGCGATCCTCTGCCCATGACGTGAGAGACAAGCGTTGAATTAGGTTATGAAACTAGAGTCGAGCTGATACATGTTGATTTGTTCGTTTGGGAGAGGTTTGCATGCAAATCGGCTATTCTAACCTCCATACCATTTTAGCGCATCTTTGGCCTCGACGCTAAACCGCGTCCTCGACGACGCTTTTACTCAGCTCAATGCTCTACCAATCCGAATGGTTTGACCGGTATGGTTTTTGCTGTCTAAGAATAGCTTAAAGATTAGACATGCTACAAAAACGTAAATGCGCTAACGTTTCCGCCACCACTGGAGTAACCTCTCCTAACATGGTGCTATGTGAGCATTCCTACCGATGCGACGGATATGACTTGGCAGCCTCGTAGATCATTGCACCGACAACCACCATTACATTACAAACCACCCATATCAGCACTACGCAGGCAAAACTACACCATTTCAAATGATTCTTCGACTAGTACCCTCATCTAAGTGTTAGTCATAGGCAGTCAAGGATTGAAGTTACATAGATAAAGCTATGTATATGAGATTGAAGCTGGAAGAGCTCCAGGCTTCACATCACTCGACTATTTCAGTGTGTCGAGGGCCAATAGCTACCTTGTTTTGATCCCACACACTATACTTGAAAGTTGCTTGCAATCTAAGCTTTATATTTCTTATGGTATAATAAATAAATGAAAAAACATATTTAAATTTTATTAGTATACTTTTCGGATAAATAAAAATTATCACTATGAAGAATTAAGGGTCTTGACTCTCTTCGAGTTATGGTGTACCATTGCCGAGGGGATACTGTACTGTACATGCATTTTCTTATTTTATAACTAATAAAATGTATATTACAAACGGCGGCCATAACTCTGACGGTCCTTCTTTAGAGAGGTTTAGCAACTCATCTTTACATTACCCTCATCATCACAATCTCGACAAATGTCGATTTCAGGACAATGATAATAGAGCTCTTTCGAAGATTCGTTGAGTTAGAATTTAAGTCAAACATGTCGCAGCGAAGTGAAACTCACGTAAAATATTATGGATCGTTTGACACAACCCATGAGTGCCCATTACTTCCACTCAGTCAAATAAGTACACTTGGCATCAAAGTCATAGTTCTCGAATAAATATCTTATCTTGCATCATACTTAGAGATGCAAATTTCAAGAGATATGACCTACTTAGCTGCTTACCCAGCATTTTGTTCATGTTGATATTATGACTTCTCGCATGCTGGTGTATGATTGAACACATATGCTGCAAGGGGAGCCAGCGAAGGTGTTGGTCTACCTTTCAGGTACCAGGTGACACAGGATCATCTCACACGACGCTCGGAAATGTGAATGCTTGATATGACCTACTTAGCTGCTTACCCAGCATTTTGTTCATGTTGATATTATGACTTCTCGCATGCTGGTGTATGATTGAACACATATGCTGCAAGGGGAGCCAGCGAAGGTGTTGCTCTACCTTTCAGGTACCAGGTGACACAGGTTCATCTCACACGACGCTCGGAAATGTGAATGCTTGATTAAGTCGTGTAAACCAGTACGACTGCAGATGAAGCGTCGCCGAGCATAGCATTGCAAGGTACGGTAGCGTTTGCGGAATTATATTCTTTTCCACGTGCTGGAGTTCAGTAGATTGATTGGTTATAGTATGCATATGACGATGACGTGCCATGTGTCACACCTGACTCCAGCGAAACTCTAACTGAAATCGTCGTTGAGACATCGGCCGACTTGTGTCAACTGGATTTGCGTTTCAAATACAGTGTTTTTGCATTGGCCAATCAAATCATTGGAAAACTCTTGGCGAAACTCAAACTCTAGCTCAACAGGTTTTCGAAAGAGCTCTATTAGAGCCCTTTCGAAAACCTGTTGAGCTAGAGTAATGACAAAATAATTTACGTTTCGCAACTTACCTCATCCTTGTAATTGCATTGCCTCCGGTTAAATAAGGTATTCGGGTGCATGCTGTGCTCGACGGCTTGGCACCACACGTTGTCAATCATACAGACCTTACGCTTCTTGTGTCCTATGCTAGCTCAGAAGTCCTTTAACGATCCCCCATTAGTGATGAGCTCGACGCGATGACAAATGCCACAGCTAACGTTGCCGCTATGGGTTCAAGCCCCAGGCTACTTATCTTCTGCGGTTTGAGTGGCCTTTGAGTGAGCGTTAAGAGTAAGATCAAGAGAATGCTAATGCAATAAGAATATGATTTGTTGTTGTTGGTGGGTCATTTAGAAACAGTCCAAGTTTAAACCCACATTCCTGTGCCAAGAGTACAATATTACAGCATACACCTAGCTCAACGACGTGACCCCGTCGAGTCTGGAGCACCATTAGCAGCGACACTTGGTGAGCAGTCTTCAGTGAAATCTTCACGAAGTGTCGCTACAAAGACGGGTCAGCCGGCCTTGTACTACAAATGTGTCGACGATTTGAGCGACGTCGATGCAAAGGACGCGGAAGAAAGTGGTCTGTCGTGCTTCGTGCGTTAGGCAGCGACCGCGTGCTGTTCGAGCAACGCGCATGGAGTGAGTACCAACTGAACCCCATTCCCAAATATACCTGGTAACCCACAAGTGAATCACGGTGCCCCGAGAAAATTTTAACCATAACGAAGGACCAGATTCGCGCGCAAGCGCGGCATTCACTCCTCTCACTGTTCATCCCACCATCATGGAACATCTCATCATGGCCTCGCAGTGAACCGGCCACACCCGCGTCACTGCGCACCTCCATTTTTTCCCACGGAACAACCCTGTAATGGACGACGAGTTCACCTGCTGGGAATATCATTGAAGCCATATGGATAGCATCACCGCGTTGCTGTGTTTCCCTCTCCTATCCTAACTCCACTGGGGGCATTACTACTCCATTTTCCATCAACTCCATCCCATCAAGGCTACCTAGACCCCGCAGGGACCAATTGCACTGAGACCATGCTGCACCTGGACCAGTGCTTTCGAGCACCGCCGCTCAAAGTTGTACCCATACCCAATGTTACACCCACACCCACTCCCACATCCGGCCCATGTCACGCTGTCAAAATTGTTTGCACGTTTCATGCACCACCCGCAGACCATCATCTCCCAGCATCATCCCTTCCACCGCCATACTCTGCTGCCTCAGGTCGTTTCCTGTTCACGTCACCAGACGAACCACGACGTCCAAGAAAGGCATACAAATCGACGCTAGCGTCATGCCCACCGCCTGGGCCAACAATGACAACAATTCCATTCGTTCAGCCAAACCTGGGTGATAAAGCTGCGCAGCCACGCAGACTCACCTCCTCCGAGTTTCTTTTCGCCTATGCAAAGGATGTGTCGAACCAGAACCCCACTGTTGCGTCAACAAACCCACCCTTCAACAACAAACAAGCCAGCACTGATGTACCCTCTCAACACCAGACCGCATTGGGCGAAATCAAAAAAGCGCCGGTACTGACATGACGCAAGCAATTTCAGTTCTAAATTCGTCATTGGGTCATCCCCCAGCCGTACACGGTCAAGACCGTGATTCTCCATCCAGCTACGTCGACCATCAAAGTTGCTCGACTTCCATCGACAAAGAACTGCCCAAAAACTGCAAATCTGCGTCCGAACGCCTCCTTCCCTAAGATCTCCGTCCCACGGCTACCTCACTGGTATGTCAGCCTTGACAGGCAAAACCTCGTACGGATTTCGCACGGCGCCCCACTATATTGGACTTTCTACGTTTTCAGAACTCCTGGAACACTGGTCATCGCGTCCTACCAATTCGCCCTCCGCGGAACCCAATCATTGGGCTCACTCGTGACTAGTGCCCGTGCTGGTGAACGTAACACAAGCGTCAACAATGACTTCGCAGTGGACGGTACCCCCACCGTTACGCCCGCTAGATGAAAACCATTTAGTACGCAGCCGATGCCATTAAATGCCCGCTGAGTAATTGTAACTTTACAGCGTAATATCAATATCAGTACCAACTGAACCCTGTCGACTGGCGCTTGATTTGGCCCGACGACGACGTGTGCCCATGCCAGTCCTCGTCCTGCAAGGGCATGCGGGTCTTGACGACTTCGAGGGTCTTGGAGATCACTTACGTCAAGGAGAGGCGTTCGCGGCAAGGAAGATGTTGGCCAGCACAACCATACCCTCACGAAGGTGCGGCTGAACCAAAAGCGACCTGTGAGGACAATCATCATTGTCCTCACAATTGGCCAATTCCAATGATTGACAATAAAGTATTGCAGTATCTTTAATTAGGTTTTACAGGTACACTTCCGCTTTTGGCAGACACAGCTGAGGGTGATGATAACGACGAGTTGCTAAACCTGTCTTTTATTCAAGTTGTCGCGTGCAAGTCAACCAGGAACTGAATCTGCCACTTCCACGGAATCAAACGGAGTTACATATTATTATTCGCTTGACATATTTATGTTGATATTTGTATTAAGTATGCGTATTTTTATTCATCCCCATAATTATTTACGTTTTGTAAAACGATCTATACATCCTGCAGATTGTGCAGGCGTACGTACATGCGGGAAAGGCGTGACGCAGGTCGGCGATTTCTCAATGCATACTGCACAAGGGGTCACGAAACTCTCCACTCCTCATAACAACCAATACTATTAAGAACAACTTATTACATGTCGCCTGAATCAACAACTGTAGAGAAAGGCAACTTCGAACTTGCCAACAAGATGCCTCATGCTAGAGAGAGCTATGTATGCGTAGGCCATGCTGCATAGACTATCTTGTAGTATCTGTAGGTTTGCGCTAAGTATTACACAGTTCGAGAAAATCGACATCGAAGTTCGTCCATTTTCGATATTTGCGCATGTCGACATACCGTCAGAGTACCGTATGTTTGGGCGAAATGGCTTCGAGGCGATAGGGGGATCCTACTCCTCAGCCAATTCTAAACATATTATTAACAACGGATTAGCCCACGCCATCCGTAATAATATCATACGTGGCGTGGGCTAGTCAGCATGTCATGAATCGAATTATTGACAGAGGAGTAGGGTGCCCAATTTTGAAAATCGGCATGACGATCGACTTTTCTGAAACATTCGAAAACACACGACTTCCAAGCGAATTTAAATAAACTTCATAATAATAATTCCATCTGATAATATGGGCGGGAATTTGCAGTCAAGTTCAAATGCCACGAAAAGCAAGTTCACGAACACTGGGACGCAGACGAAAAGGTGTCCACAAGTGCGCCAATATGCCCATCGTAGAACAGCGACTACGTCGAGTCACCAGAACTATCGACACCATTGTCAAAGCAGCAACAACAAACGTGCGAAGCCCTCCTACGTCGTCCGTCGGTCAGCGCCGTGTGGCTTGGGCAGTATACTTTTTGGACAACTTGGGTGCTCCACCAATAGTGCATGGCACGGCGTGCATGGTGCAGTGAGTAACATTGTTCGACACTTCCAGTTACAACACGGCAAAAGACGCCATGTCTTTGCTGTTCTCGTCAACGTCACTGACTGCATCAAGCGTGTTGTGACCTACAGTGGAAAGTCCAAATCTCATGGTGGTCAAAACAAATGCATCGACACCGATGCAGTTGAGAATCAAAGAATTGCCAATTGTATGGAGCATGGGCATGGGCTACGCGAATCGACGTTTGCAGTAAACCAACACCGTCAAAAGTCCAACTCAGTTGTGGTTGGTATGTCATCCGTGTACAGTGCGTACCATCGACTGAACCCTGTAGTATCGTCCATTCCACCTATCAAGCAAGGCAATTCCAACTTGGGCTCGGCATGGGCTACAGCTCGTCTTGGACTGACAAGACAGCTGGCTGTGCGACTTGGTATTTGGAGTTGGGATCCCTCCGTGCTCGGGCAATGTCCAAGCGCATATGATGCCGCCAACTTGACGCCATTGGATGTTTGCCAGATTGTTTCGTGGGACGAAACTCACAAAACCGTCAAAATCGGTGGCGGCGGGCAGATCACGAACATGCAAGTACGCTTTAAGCGTGATGCCCTTGGTTTGGTATGTGCTGATGGTACCTTGGGCGTCCCCAAAACATACCTGAACACGAAATACAGCTCAGAGGCGAGGTTTTCCCTTGGGTGTGCGGTGGTGACTAATGATTGTGGTGACCACATCGGAGTGCGATGTGTGCCGTTTGTGTACACGGGACAGTGGATTTGCACAATCAAGAACTACGAGGCTCTCATTCAACAAGAAATACAGCGAGTCAAAGGGTTGACGGGGGAGTGTTCTGTGTAGGTTACGAGGTCACGACAAAACGACTCTGGTACAATTATGTATTACTTCTATCATATACATTATAGAATATGAAGTAAAAATACTAATGTAATATTAGTATGCTAGTAGTAACAAATATTGTAGGTGTATTCCATTGAGATTGCATCTCTAAATTACATGGAATTGGGCGCAATCTCAAAGCACAGTTTGAAAGGCATTGTATTTTGACAATTGGCGACTTGGCAGCAAAACAGTCAAGTGACTTGGTTGTTTTGGTGACGCACCTAACTGGAATCAGTCAACGAAGTCTGCTGACATTTCATGCTCAAACACTCACGGCGTTCGTTGGATCGTATATTGACGCCAAGATGGACCACCGACAAGCCAACAACCCCTACGAATCCAGATATGGCAGCAACTGGCAACATGTGATCTCAAAATGCACAGCAATGTCTGATCATTGTTGTGTCATGACCCTAATCGAACATATCGTTACTGAATCAAGCCGAGTGATGCGGGGTACGGCTCACGAAGATAACTGGGTGTTTTGGCACGATGCCTTGTCTCAGATGATGTGTCATTCCACTATCCAGTGGATGAGATCAAAGGACTACTTGCGTCGGTGGATCTTACCAGAACAAAACTTCAACGTTGAAACTGCATTTGCTGGCCTGTTGGCAACAGTACCGAGTTGATGTGTTGGAACTGCTCGCTAATCAATGACGTCGACAACTCTTTCCAACGGCACAAGGCATGGACAGTCCACTTACCTCGTGGGTCTCCTGCAAAGTTCTGTTCATCAACACCTCAACGCCACGAGCAATCTTACCTACGGTTGATTGATCCAATTCTTGGTCGGCATGCAGGTACCCCTACAAGCTTGCGCATTATTCAAGACATCAAGACGTGTTTTGGAAGTCACCTTTTGGCCGTGATTGCTGCATACGACGCCGTCGTACATGGTCTTGGAAACCGTAATTTCAAGCGCCAAGAGCCTGGCTTCGGGACTCGTGGTGGCAAGCGAGTGAAGTTGTTTGATGTGCTTGGCCATTGGCTGCATCCTGACGCTGATGCTGGGCTACTCGACAAGCTCAACATGGCCGGCCACTCGTGCAATCGAAGTGTCGAAGTCCTCTGATGAGGTTGTGGTGTAACGTTAATATCAGAAGAGTAATATAATGATGTGCACGATTAAAAATACTCGCAATTAACTGTAAATTGATATCAGTGTACTGCTATCAATTTACAGTTAATTGCGATCGAGTTCGGGAGATTTAACTGCACGATCAATATATCATGATTTGCTGTCTACGCGCTGGGATTGCGATGCGCCTCGCTGAAGGGCCTTTCCAATCGCAGATTTTGTTGGAATTGTCTCGAGTTTGAACTTTTTCGCCGCCCATTTAGCCAATTCATTGTATGTAGCTTGAGGGTTTCGCTTGTGCTCCGCGTACAAGCCATTCTTCTCGGCCAGTGTCATCCGCTGTTTCATCTTGAAGTGATTTGCGGTCAAAAGTGCGATGTTATTTGAATATTCAAACATTCCCTCAACATTTTATATTATTAGGTCATAGAGAATATTTATTTTACCCCGTTTCCAAGTCAGGGGGAGATCAGTATAAATTGCTCTCAAGCAGCAGTTAAGTTCGTGATTTTCATCCTGCATTGTTTTAAAAACTGCAACTCTGTTGTCGTTAAAATTTGGTGATTATCTGTTTCTTCCTAGTATAAGTAACGTCCCAAAATTTCAAAAAAATACGTACTCCGGGGTATAGTATTGGCGACGTTATGAAATACTGTACTGGAAGCTTTTTCGCCCAAACATACGGTACTACAAAACATGCACATGCAAGCACATTAAAATATATCGCCCGCAAATGTAATGCAGTATCCGGAACTGGCTGTGCTCAGTGGCTGTACTCAGATTTCAATGTGAAACGGCGAAAATTTTCTGAATATGCAAGGCACTACTTTTGTACGTGAAAGCGTATCAGTACAGCAGCCAAAGTCCCTCTCCAACAAGTTGGATGACCCCGAAGAAACTCCAGAATTTGCTTTCGCCATCCAGAAATGCCTTGATTTTGGCCTTGCATAGCTTCGTGTTATGATGAGTTTTTTTTTGTCCATTTCCTGCATCTCCCTGAGGGACAAGGCCAACTTTGCACGAATAGTGACATTAAGAATGATCAATGAATGATTATTAGTAGTGTTGTTTAGAGGGTCAACAACACGACGGGGTTGGGCACGGTAACGTTAGTGCCGGTGTGGACGAGGGTACCGTCCTTGAGCAGGTGGAAGCTCACAAGGTCGCTCGTGTATTGGTTGCCCACGTACACGATGTTGTCGTCGCTGATTGTAAAGTCGCGGGGGTATGCGCCGGCGCGAAGGGGACCCGTGGACACAAGGTCCAACGTGGCAGCGTCGAAGACCACGATGCTGTTTTCGTTTCCCTCGAGGCCGCGGTTGGACACGAGCACGAACTTGCCGTCTTTCGTGACGTGCACGGCAGACGCGAACTGCTTGCCGGTCTTCTTCGACGTCTTCACGGCCGCCTTCTTGACCAACTGGCCGTCCGATTGCACTTTGTAGCGGACCAACTCGTTCGTGAACTCGGTGGTCAAGAAGATATCGAGGCCGTTTGGGTGCACGGCCAAGTGGCGGGGGAGTGTACTCCGACCAGTGTCCACGAAGCCATTCTCGATGAGCTTGCCCTCGTCGTTGAGCTTGAACTGCATGATCTTGTCGTTGCCCAAGTCCGTCACGTACACGTACGAGTTGTCCTTGCTCATAGCCACGCAGTGGGCACGGGGGCCATCTTGGGTCCAAGAAACGTGGCCTGCGCCGCCCGTGAACTGCACCTTGTCCACGATCTCGCCAACAGTGCCGTCCTGGTTGAGCTTGAACACGACCACCGCCCCGTCGGTGTAGCTCGGGACGAGAGCGTATTTGTTGTCGTTGGTGAGCATCACGTGCACGGGGCCCTTGGTGTTGGTGGCGGTCGTGCCGAGAAACTCGAGGGACAGCTTGTCCTCGTTGCTGGTCACCTCGTTGTCGGCATCTTCGTTGTCGTCATCTTTGCAGTTGTTGTGGTTGTTGCGACTCACACGAAACGCGGTGAGCGTGCCCAATTCGACTTCATTCGTCACGTACAAGAACTTGTGGTTGTTGGACAAGGCAAAGTACCTCGGCTGGTTGCCCGTGGTGGCGTTGGTTTCTTGGCCAATCTTGGTCAATTTACCCTCGGCGTCGGTGCGGTAAATGGAAATGCCCACGGGGTCGTTGGTGGTCGAGATGCTGGTATCAGACCCCACGAGGAGGATGCGGCTGGAGGCGGTGCCAACGAGGGCGGCCAAGGCGAAGAGGGCAGTTGTAAGACGCATGATAAGCTTAGTGGTCGTGCGCGGAAATTCAAAACTGACGCTGTGGTCGTGGAGTGTGAAGTTGAAACGGGCGACGAAATGGGTGCACGATTGCACGATCAAATCTGACTTGCTGGCACACCCAAATACTCCGGAGTACCAAAATATCACACCAGCTTTCCGTTCACATATAATTCAACGGTTCTTTCAGTTCAAATACTAGTACTTGAAGTGCACAGTAACATTACACTGTATTCCCTTTGGTGACATATTGAGAATTGTGTGTGACAGATTGCGGAACACTGGCATATTAAGAATTGGTTGTGACAGACAGATTGCGGAACATTCTACAGGTACATAATAGTACAGTACTCATACTACGTACTACGTAGTAGTATTATGCGAAGTTGGAGTGGTACTGTAGTCCAATCGAGTACTGTAGCGACAGACCAAACGCAGGCAGTCGACTAGCCAATGAAATTGCTTCAATCCTAAATTCCAACCAATGGTAGTCCGGCCGTAAACTGCCCAGTCTATCCGGATGATAAAGTATTTCCCTCATTCACACAGTCGTCAAACAGTATCTTGGGTCAAAACAATAGAGGGAATTACATTCAAGTATTCAGTTCTGCAAGTACTTTAGGGTGCGTCAGGTAACATTCCCGATCCAAACCAGTTTGATGTACTATACTAGTGTAAATCATTAAGGGCGGGTCTGGATGCCACGAAAAATGGTATAACATGGCCGTTTTTCGAAGAAAACTAGGCAAAATCGAAATATTCCATTTTTCGAGAGTTTGTGCGTCTGGATGCCACCAAAGTTCAAAACTTTATCCCACAGTTTTCTTGAGAATCGGGTGTTTTATGGCATAAAAAAATGGACCGATTTGGTCCAACTTTTTTAAGGAGGT